TCCCACGCTGTTTTTTCCAATTTGAAGCTGAAATTTCGACACGGCATCCCCATGAGTACAACAAACAAATAAGCCACTGCGCCGTTTGACTTCTTTCTTTTTTTCTGCGATTTTTTGGCATAGCAAATATTCCCATGAATACTAATATCAGCCTAACTTACGAAATAAAAAAAAAATCCAAATAACGCAGTGGCCTTTGTGTTTATAGTACTCATGCAGATGCCGTGTCAAAATTTCAGGTTCTAACTCGAAAAAACCGCGTGGGAAATCCGCTTCAACCTTCAAATTTGCGTCTTGGTCAGACCAGCTTGTACGGTTACCCTGCTTGCTTTGGCAGACCTCTCGAGACCAGTACAAGAGGATGTGTCGACGGAATTGATCGAGGTCGGACTCCCGTTCCCATGAAGGAGTAGTCAGGCCTAGCCAATGTGTCTGGTACAGGACAGCGAGAACGCCGCTACGGCCCCGCACCAGTTGATGTCCCGAAATGTAGTCGACCTCGAGGCGCCCGACAGGCACCGACACATCATCTGCGGTGACGTGAAACGGTGGACATTTGTCGCCGAAAGAGTGCAGGACATAACGCGAAAGCTCAGCGGGCAGAGATTGGGGCAGGTCGTCCGTCTCGTATGGATTGCGACAGGGCTTGCAACGAAGGACAGACACGCGACATCGAGCTGCTGGGCCGGAAAGATCGGAAGGCAGGTCCAGGTAGAGGAGTTTACGCGCCAACGGGCTTCCATCTGGGGTGGCGTCGGTGCTTCACCGGCATATGTAGCCTATATTCGTAGGAGATTTTGCTCCCAACCCCGGGGTTTCTACGCGAAAAGGCGTGCACAAAAGCGGACATCGCGCGCGCGCGATTCAGACCAGGACAAGAAACACCGACAAAGACGCAAGAACACCACCAACAAACGCATCACCGCTGAGACGCTGGTCTGAGACCAGCTATGAAATCCAGGAGGGGCCGGGCCTATACGACCTGTCACCGTGGGAATACTGTAGGCATGCGGCATGCAACCTGGCGGGTATTAATTGATGTTGAGTGGGTCCCGACCAATTGCTTCAAAAAGAGCAGACCGATTATCACACAAATAACACACCTTCCCAAGTCCAGACCACACCTAGCATCATCGACAGAATCCGTCGAGGGCGTGAGGGTCTACTACTGCTGCTGCTGTGCGTTATCAGGATGGTTCCCCGCGGGATCGGTTGAGATTGCGTACTTACGCCGCGCTACTGACTGTCTTTGTAAAGAAAGCCGTGCCCCGCATGCTATTATTGCAGGGCTGCAGCAGGGCCTCTCGGCCTCTCTCGCATCAAAGTCATGACGTCACATGACCGTCAACGGCTTTTTGTTGTTTTTGGTTCACGCTGGACTGCTTGCTTTCACTCCTGGGCGGGACTCTCGGAAGGCTTGAGACGAATGTGGTGGGCAAGTTGTGAGCCTGACGCAATATTCGCCATCTGTCATGTCGCAATCCTATATCTACGCTGCTGGTCGTGCTCCTCGACGGTGTGATGTGTGATACGCTCGCCGCCGGGGGGATGCCGCACGTATGTGTGCTTCTTCCAGATGCCCAGATTTGCGTGTTGGCATCCGCACAACGGGGAAACTTCACATTTTGTTTCTTCGTGCATGTGCATCAAAACGGGAAGAAACCACCAACGATGTGAAGTGCAACATTTTGAACGGTGGTCGCTCCCGTCGCACGCCTGCTGTCCCTCTTTGGTGCACGCGTAGCTGCACCATATACTATTCACGCTGGTGTGTCGGGCTTCGTCCACCATCAGCATCGCAGATAAGACTACTGCAAGGTATTGATACGCACCACGCCGCTCATTACCCCCCAACCTAGTATCATTGTTCCTACTCTTTCACGCGTACGTGTACGCCAAGTGAAAGACACTTGAGGAATAATAATTATACACACAGAAAGACTATAATACCCATTCCCATCAACCTCCGTATGCAGGTAGGTACATCCGCATAGTAGTTAGCGGCGGTTTACCAACGACGGTAACACGGATGGATTTATTTATTTGCTGCTCAACACTAAAAACTAGACACACCCCGCGTGATCGACTACTGCTCCCATCATGTCAACGCCATCTAGCGCGAAACTCCAATACCCGCGCGAACACCAGCCACCAAGTGAGTTTCAGTCTGGAACCTCGTCCAATCCTACATGTAGACTAACATGGAATCACCTATTCTACCACGCCTTTACTCCAACTCACGCTTGGTGTCATCTCCGGAACGCACCGCGAAAATGTTCAAACTTCGCGTCCAGATCGCAGCAGCAGCACCCGTAAATCTCGGATCGGAAACGCCATGAAGAACGATGGCGGCGCTATTTCTTTCGCAAGCTGGGTGGTGTTGAGTAAACACCAGGTTGGTTTGTGAGGGGAGCGTCTCGACCAGGACGGTGAGAGCGTTGAACCTCTTGTCTTGCTGCACCAGGATGATGATGAGCTTAGCCGCCGAAACCGTAGAGGGTGCGGCCCTGGCGCTTGAGGGCGTACACCACGTCCATGGCCGTCACGGTCTTCCGGCGGGCGTGCTCGGTGTACGTCACCGAGTCACGGATGACGTTCTCGAGGAACACCTTGAGCACGCCGCGGGTCTCCTCGTAGATGAGTCCCGAGATACGCTTCACACCGCCACGGCGAGCCAGGCGGCGGATGGCGGGCTTGGTGATGCCCTGGATGTTGTCGCGCAGTACCTTGCGGTGGCGCTTGGCGCCGCCCTTGCCCAGACCCTTACCGCCCTTTCCGCGTCCAGACATATTTGCTTGAGGTGTGTTCTTCTTGAGAAGAGGAGAGAGTTGTTGTTGTGAGCAGGTGGGGGGCGAGGGCGAGGCAAGAGGAATTATGTCCTGCGACGTCCGGGCACATCATGGCACAAACGGGAACAAAATGGGCAACGCTGATTGGTCGTCTATTGTTGAGTGCAGATTTTGAATTTCTAATCTCCCCGCATACATCATATTGTTTGGTAGTCTTTCTGTGTGTGTTTTTATTATTCCTTATTAAATTGTTTGCGTCACAAGGTTTGCGCACATCGCAGGCTAAAGTTACACGCGGTCCATCGCCTTCTCTCTCTCCCCATGCCTTTCAACGATATCTCAATGGTCGTGACTAGCGCGGAACAGACGACTCGTTCTTATAGCGCTACAAATCCGTGAACCTGCAACAACAGGCCGCCGCACCCGTATACAAAACACAGCACAGCAAATTCACTGCTGCTGTGTGGGCTTCGTTGGTCTGCCAGACAGCCACTACTACAGCAGTTACAGCTCTACATCAGTAGACCTCTACCTAGTTACTGCACTACTGCCTGTTGGTTAGATAGTCTGTTCAAGTTTGTGTATGTGTACGATATCCGTGAGAAATTAATTGTACTAATTTGATTATGCTTGAGCATGCGTTTTATGTGCTCTATGTACATGTTCGATACGGTTACACACATACATACATGTAATCCCGTCCGTGAACAATCGAACCATAACCATTCATTGCTGTTGCCCTAGGAAGTGTTGAACGACACGACGAGTGCGAGTGAAAAGGTACTGTATCTGATCCGTAGGATATGCGTACTTAAGCTTTCATTGTAATATTTATTAACATTTTGTTCATGGGTTTGAACTCAGTAACACCGCAGGGAGATGCGAATCTCCAACGCTATATTTAAAGGCGTTCCACTAAGGCAATGGTCACAGATATGGGGCGGTGTGTACGATCACCGAACAGACGGTGATGCTCGGTAAAGAGGCAGAAATCTCTAGATGAGATGGGGACAGAAGTGAAGAGTGAGAGGTGTGCGAGGGCACACCCTCGCATCCCTCGCGGACAAAAGCCACGGTCAACGATACGAGGAAGCCTCGTGGAAGACCTCTTAAGGTTCCTAAGAACGTTGCACGCTTCCTCGTGGCTCGACATCGCTCCGAGAGACAATCTCTCCGAGGGGAATGTGGGACACCTTCTCCAAGGTTGTAGGATAAGTGGTGAATCATGTAGTAGGTTGTAGGTTGCGGGCGTAGAGTTGTGCACATGTTACGCCTTTTCTATTGAAGCGCAGGCTCATGCGAACCTTCGCATATACCATGCAGATATTTCTCACGCCATTTGTTCGTCTCTTCGTGAGCGTTGAGAAATATTCCAGTCTACTGCTGTAGATACCATGGATTGGTGGCCTACCCTAGGAACCCCAACTTCGGCCATATCTATCTTTTAAGTTCCGGCGCTACTTGCATTGGAACGCTCCGGTCGCGCAACCCCCCTCACCTTTTGACCGCTCCTTGGCCAATGGGTCGTTGGAATCTAACGTTGGCTACAGCGTATGGATGACTTTTCGCGAAAACGTGCGCTGGGGCGGACTACAGCGCTGCTTCATCCATTCATAGCGTTCACCTTCCTTCATGACCACGACGGAGTCAAATATGACGGATGCCATGCAAATATATATCTTGCGTTTCCGGCGGCAGACAAAAAGTCGTCCGGACAATAACGCGAAGAGAGAGAGCCCCACGAGAAAGATATCGGATCGCCTGATGTTTCTTAACATGCACGAGTAGTTTCAGTCTCCTCCCCCTCCCACCTCTACATTCCACCGCCACGGACGTGTGCCGCAGTAAGATGCGCCCCTGCCAGCCAGGACAACACTCGTGTTGCACGTTTTGATTTCTCCAATAGTACGAGTTTGCCATCTACCAGACATACTACACACGAAACACTAAAACTGATCAACACACGCGACTCATGCATGAAAAGAGGAAACTATCAATATCAACATGTGAATTATCGGCGCAGTTCCGTACTTCCTACAATTCACTTTGATTAACGTGCTTGCGTGCAAGTGGAATGGTAGCAAAAGTTGTGTCCAAAATCACCGGAACTAAATGTTCTGAAGTTAAATGAACACAAAGTTCAAATACCTAGAAATACCTTGCATAACCAACCTGCGTCAGTGCGTCACCAAGGGTAAACGCATTCTTATTTAGAAAACGTTTACACCCCAGAGGGCAAGTGCTAAAAAGGAGTACAAAAATACAACATGCACATTTCAATGTCTTTCCTGCCGGGCAGGTTTGATGCCTATGGCAAGCCTTACGATACGACACTTGTCCCGAAGGGTTTCTCGAACGTCAACGTGGCGAGGACAGCAACCACAGCACATCATCTAAGCACGTGTTATTACAACCATGGCGCCTAAGTCGCCATGCCCTTGAAGTGTCCGGCGTTGGAGGGACAAACGCCAACATTCAGGTACAAGTCTCTGTATGCAACAGCAACGACCGGTCCGGTGGCGACAACGGCTGCAAAATTATCAACAATAATCACACCAACATCCTAAGATCTGCACAAGGCACCACCAACAAGTACCACACACACATAACCTTGCAAGACAGCCATTACATTGTTTCGCTTCAAAACAACCACAAGATCTCTGTCCATCACGATCATCCACACAATAATAGGTACAGCAACGGCACTGGTGAACCTTCATGTAACGTATTTCCATGACAAGAGTGCGATGCGTTGCCGCCATATCTGCTCGATGGGCAACTTTTGGAACTCATCGCTATCGCAAGTGATAACGCGCTCACTTTGCGATTGCTTTTCATTCTTTGGTCGGATGGGTGGTGTTGAGTAAACACCAGTGGCGTTTTTGCTGGGAGGGTCGAACCCAACATGAGAGGGTGCCGGTGAGAGAAGATGTGAAACCTCGCCAGCATTGGAGATGGATGAGCTTAGACCTTCTTGGGGGCAGCCTTATTCTTGAGGGTGGAGGGCTTCTTCTTGGGGGTGGAGGGCTTCTTCTTGGTGGTGGTCTTCTTAGCCGCGGGCTTCTTGGCGGTGGTGGTCTTCTTCTTGGTGACGGTCTTCTTGGTGGTCGTGGCCTTCTTGGCGGCGGGCTTCTTCGTCGTGGTCTTCTTCACAGCGGGCTTCTTGGCCACCTTCTTCTTCGGCACCTTCTTCTTGACGACCTTCTTCACCACCTTCTTTTTCACGACCTTCTTCTTCGGGGCAGGCTTCTTCGCCTCGGCGCTCAGCTTGTAAGAGGCCTTCATCTAGTGGGTGTGTTGCATCACGGAATAACAGGGAACGCAGGACATGGCCGTGAGGTTTCGAAAAAAATGCAGCGGCACTTTGAAGCAGTCTTTTCTTTTCACCCAGCGTTCTCATACATATAAATTTCAACGACACTCAAACCTGCTACACCTGGTATGTTCTGCATATCATAGTTCGTGGTGCAATGTACCACCGCCGTGCCATCCATAAACCATGCTGCATGCATCCTACAGAAGAGATGCACACCTCCACGCTTAGGTACGTACAGGTGCTATCCTCAGGAGCGATTTCACACGAGGATAGCGGTGCAACAACTACGACGAGGTTTGGCGCAGACGTACCTTCACAAATCAAACCCTTAGACACAACCACACGACGATGAATACTACGTACACGCTACATGGCAGGGGGGCGTGCATGCAGAGCTGTTCCGCTTTGACATACGATCCTTCTTTGGCAACGCGACAAAATAGAGATGCGCAGCAGACTTGAAACAAAGCGGCAGACGATATGCATGTTTCGTCGTAACCTCACCCAGTGGTGGGAGAAATAGAGAAAAATAAAAGTGCCAACAACACCAAAACTCGGGGAGCATAAACAAGAGTGGTGAGACTCGAAAAAGGGGGAGGAAACAACGATACCATGTGCATACGAAAAACAAAGGAAAGCCGACGAAAATCACTCTCGCTTTGTGATTGGTCGAAGGGAAAATTGTGTCCACGTGGCACGTCGCTCTCCAAAACACGAAAAAAAGGCACATCGAAAAGGTGGGATTGTAGTGCGCGTGGGATATAGAGAGCGAGAAAGGGTGAAGGTTTCCTGTGAACACATTTTGGTCGTTTGCCTCGTAGGTGGCGTGTCTCACCTTGATGAACTTGCCGGACTCAACTCCCTTCTTGAGGGCGCTGCGCATCTGGTGCGGCGTGAAGTTGAGGGTAGGGTAGGTGGCGGTGATGCTCTTCTTGATGGCCTGGATGGAGGATCCGTTACGCTCCTTGAGGGTCTTGATGGCATCAAATACCATCTGCAGGAGACGGGCGGCAAGGATGCGGAAGGTGTCAAGGACGCGTAACAGCAGTAGGGAGAGCGCGCAACGGCCATGGCTTAGTCAACCCCGCCCGCAACAGATAGATGATGCGTTTCAGTTGGTTTCGAAGCACCATTTTTTTTTAGAAAAAAGCAGCAGGTGCGTTGCAGCGTCGGAGCAGGCACAAAACAAGGATTGGCTGATCCCGGATCAGGCTGTGACAAGGTTTGCGTCGAGAAGACCACTTCGGTGATGGCAATCAACGCACTGACACATGGTAACACGAAATGCGCGAAGACAGAACGAACGACAGATGCCCCTCCAACCTTCGCCCACGAAAAACAAAAAAACGCACAAGAATCTAGGCTAGAGTGCTTCGTATGTCAGATGTCTGGCGTGGATATTTCATCGCAGATCCGTCGTCTTACCGCATTGTACGTGGGCTTGGTGGAGGCCATGGCTGCTGCTTCGACTTGATGAGAGGTGCTGGTGACCGGTCGTGAGGAACTTTGGAGCGGCTAGGAGGTGCGACGTGCGACCCTGGTGCGGAGGGTTAGAGAATCCTCTATTTTTGCTATTCATACCACCATACCACCTCACCCCACCGTACCGGTTTCGCCAACAGGAACAGCATACGCCACGCTGATTGGACGCCTTTTGTTAATTGCATTTTTTCCAATTGCTCATTTCGCCGCGTACTCTGCAATGGCAAATGGCAAGCCCCCGTCCCGTTCATTACCACCTCTCTCCTCTTTCACCTCCCTGTTTCTCTCTCTCAACACCATGGCTCGCACGAAGCAAACCGCCCGTAAGTCCACCGGAGGCAAGGCTCCCCGCAAGCAGCTGGCCACCAAGGCCGCCCGCAAGTCCGCACCGGCCACCGGCGGTGTCAAGAAGCCTCACCGCTACAGGCCCGGCACCGTGGCCCTGCGCGAGATCCGTCGCTACCAGAAGTCCACCGAGCTGCTCATCCGCAAGCTTCCCTTCCAGCGCCTTGTGCGCGAGATCGCCCAGGACTTCAAGAGCGACCTCCGCTTCCAGGGATCGGCCGTGCTCGCTCTGCAGGAGGCTGCCGAGGCCTACCTTGTGGGCCTGTTCGAAGACACCAACTTGTGCGCTATCCACGCCAAGCGCGTGACCATCATGCCCAAGGACATCCAGCTGGCCCGCCGCATCCGCGGCGAGCGCTCTTAGGTCATCACAGCCTACAGGCTGCACCGCCGGAAGCCACTATCTCTCTACCGAAGTGAGTCCTCCGCCAACAACCAACCTGGTGTTTATTCAACACCACCCTTTCAAACGAAGGAAAAATTCAAAATGTAAGCCTAAAAGGCTGCTGAACGAAGAGCAGCCAACGGCCAAAAGCCACTGGCATGCACATTCTCACCATCTCCCGTTGGATCGTCACAATGTAGAGTTTGAGCAAATGGACGCTTCTCGCTGAGTCGAAAAAGCTATTGGTAGAGCTCTTCATACCGACGCCGATCACTGTACACAGCAGCAGCATAGGAGGTATATATGCTGTACAGCAGTAATTCCTCTCTACTGCGGTATTCTACGTGTGTGTGCGTAGGCCAAGCATCATCAGTGGATCATCAGCAGGCATGCATGTCTTGTACGGTACGAGAGACGCGTCGTGGTTCACACATCTCGATCTGATATCATCGCATGTCGAGGTCCTCAGGGACGTTGCCCGTTCGGAGTTGCCAACACATTTGCACAGCCTACATACGGAATTGCTGTACGTCAATTTTTGTGAACTCCCCGACACAGCAGCAGTAGTTTTGTGTTTTCTTCACATAAAAAACTTTCAAAAACCGCTTCGATTTCTGTGCAATACCTTCCGATATTCGTTCCGTCCAATTGCGGGGACTTGTTACTTCCCGTGGTCGCAGGCTACATTTCTAGCTGAAAAAAACGTGAAACAGGGTATTCGGTACTTGGAGGTACCAACTACAAATTTCGAAACAAAGAGAAAAAGGACTCAGACAAAACAACTCAAACGAGACGACGAACGCAACACGATTATGATTGAACGTTTCACCTGTCTGGTGTATACAACCAAGTAGACTATTTGATTTGTGTAGCCCAAAATTGCTTCGTTGCCTTGTCCTCCATGTCACGCCGCGCGACCTAACCTATGTCAAAATCCAATCCGCAAGCCGTACAAATACCTTTTAGTACAATGGGAACTCCAATATCCACGTTGTTCTATGGAGAACCGAGCTATCGGGAAGAAGCCCCTATATATTCACGCGTACCGAGAATACTTCAGCGGTAGCCTCCCCAAGTGGCTAATCCTGTCTATCGGCATCCATGCGTTGTATGTTTGACGCACGTCTACAAGAGTTAAATTTAAACATCTGTTTTACAAAAAACTGGAGCCAAGCACAACAACCTTGATTACGCGTGATCTTGGGCAATTCTCTGAAGTCTACAGTTTTACATCCCACCCATGATCAAATAAAATGCAGGTGAGCACAGATTCTTTTACAAATGATAACCCAATACGCTCCGACTGCCTGACCGGGCGGGCAGGACAAAAGAAGCACCTACGCACTGCGCAGCATTGAAAAAAAAGCAAGTGTTACACCGATTCACAGCAGTACAACCTCATCTACAGGACGCTTCACGAAAGTGTGTGTGCTATTAGTGTGTGTGTTATTACTGGTTACGCTTGGCGTAGTTACAACATACAAGAAGTTACAAATTCGCACACGGGGGCACGTTCTGGGAGGTAAGAGTCCACGCAGCATGTCGTTAGGCTTCGCTTCCCCATCCCGGAACCAGCGTGCCACCAGATCCGTCATCCTGCGGTGCGGCACAGCAACCGGCGAACTCCTTCAACACACGAGCACGCGCCTCTTCCTGGTCGTCATCCTGATCATCCTGCCCTGACCCATCCCCATCGCCACCCCGCCGATAGCACGGGCTCCCCCTTGCGTGAATGTTCGAGGGCGCTGTCCACGAACGGCCGGGGCTCGGACTCGGTGTGCTGGCTGACGCTCCTCGCCCGCACAACCCGTCGGCACGTTCCCAGCGACCCGCGCGCAAGTTCGCTCGCGGCCCGCCCTCTTCGGTGTTGTTACCACCGGTTGCCGACGACGGCGGAAACAGCAGTCTCTGTGTGGGCAAGTCGCCGCGGTTACCACCTCCCGTCTCCCTGTACAACTCCGTCATTTTCCCTATAAACCTAACGCTTCCGCCTTCTAGGCTCCGGCGGAGAGTCTGGTTTTGACCCTCCAGTCTGTCCACCTCGCTCCGGATCTGCCGCAGGTGCTCCTCTTGCTCGTGAGACAGTAACGACCGCCCGCCACCCCCATCCCCTGGCATCCCTCCTCCGGGTCCTGGAACATCGGCCGCCCGCCCAACGCCCCAGCATGTCGTCGTCGTCTGCTGCTGCTGCTGCTGCTCGTGGCATCGCCGGCAATCATCCAAGGCTATCATTGCCTCGTCAAGGCGTCCTTCGGCGTCTTCCCTCGCCCTTATTGCCGCCTCTTCCCTCCGCCGGGCCTCTCTCGCGCAGACCGCCTTGGCGCGCGCGGCGACCGTGGCTCGCCGAGCGGCGTGTCCCCGGCGCCTGTAAGCCGCGGCCAGCGCCTCTACGCCGCAGATAAGGGCGCCCAGAAACGGGTCTACTGGTGATGCGGGATGCTGCCACAGGAGAAACGATGCCATGGCCGGCGGGAGGGCAGGCGGTGTAGCAGTCGAGACAGCGCCATCGTCGTCGTCCACCCCTCTGCTGTCGTCGTCCGAGAGGCACGATGACACCACACCCCAAGCCCGCTGCACCCCTGCCAGGGCCTTCTGCAGGGCATCCTCAGTCTCTTGGACGCGCTTGCTCATCGCTTGCGCCTCGGCTACCGAGTGCCCTCCCTCTCTGTCCTTGCCGCCGCCCGTGTCCTGAGAGGGACTGGGAGAGGGTCGACGGGCAGCAGCGGCAGTGGCCGCAGCAGCGGTCGCAGCGGTTGCGGCGGCGGTTGCTCTCTGCTCAGCAAGCCTGACCTGCTCCAGGGCTTCTCGAAGACGATGGGACTCGGCGCGCTCCTCTTTCACCTTGGCCTTAAGCGACGAGCACTCCTCCTCAAGTTCGGCCACGAGCCGCCCCGCACGCCTCGCCTCTGTTGCCGCTGCCAGCGCACCGCGCAACGCACCGCTACCGCCAAGGCCAACGGTGTGGTGACTGAACCCTGCCGTAGCATCAATGATAGACTCTACTTCCACGTCCCGCGCGGCCAGGGCACACCGCAAAGACTCCACTTCTCGGGCACGCGCCGTTCCGTCTTCCACCGCCGGATCAAAGTCCTGCTTTGCTGCCGCTGCTAACGCCGCCTCTTCTCCCGCGGCCTTCGCTGACAACAGCAGTGCATCACGTTCCGCGGTGGCGGCTCTCAGCGAGGCCGACAACTCTGTCACGCGATCTCTTGCTCTGGCCTCGGCCGCAGCCGCAGCCGACAAGCGGTCCCTGCCCTCCTGTTCCAGCCGCGACCTTTGCTCTCCCGCCGAGCGCTCTGCCGCCGCCGCCGCGCTCGCCGCGCGGTCACGAACGGACTGCAGCTCCGCGCGGGAGGACTGCAGCTCTGACCGGAGAGCGCTGGTCTTTCGCCTCTCCGCCGCTACCTCCGCCGCCGCCACGGCCAGCTCGCCTTGCGCGCCCCCGAGCTCTCGCTCCGCGGTGCGGGAACGAGCCTTGAGGCCATCGGCCTCGGCCCGGGCGTCTCTGACTTGGTTGTCCCGCTCCTCGATGCGGCGCTTGAGGGTGCGCGTGTCCCACTGCAAGTCTTCTAGCTGCCGCCGGAGGCGCTGCAGCTCGGCTTGCGCTTGACCGCGCGAAGGGTCGGCCTGGGATCGCGACAAGGAGAAAGCAGCGTGAGATGGAGTGCGGCGAACCATACAATACAGCAGTTACTGTAACTGTAACTGTAACTTGTAAAGATGGTTCACCTCACAAACGGAAAACACAGCGGTCGGACGGGGATACTGCGGCTCCTCACGCATAAAATATATAGAGAGATATATCTAGAATTGCCACCAATCATCCCTTTTGTAGAAGGAATGGCCAAGCCCAGACTGCAGTGTATGGGTACGCCAGAACTACTTATGGTAGGTTTTGCGGAATAGTTCTTCGGGAAGCGCCGACACAAACCACGTTGTTGGTGGTTAGGCTCTTCAACGCTCGTGCTTCTTCTTTCGACATTGACCAACCATGGCTCGCGCCACAAACTCAAGTATATTAGAAAAAGCTCAATACTTTTTGCGGGATACCTTACGGTGTCAGCAGTTCACACCTTACCGTCCACATTCTTCAACCCTGCAGACATGTTGAACATACATAGGTGATAGGTGATATAAATCTATGGCGGAAAAAAAAAAAAAACAGAACGCAAAACAAGCACGCACGACGCAATGCACACTGCCGTTGCTGCTTATCCTTTTCTCGAGGTAGCCGAGCTGATCATGCATCCACCACATAGCGAAGACTCAGTGTCTCCTCTTGGGCTATTCGTCATTCAAAAACGTATTCCAAACGTGTGATCTTCTTACAAACCGGGGCCCCCCGATAGACTGGGCTCAAGCACGAAACAAAAACAGACCTCACAGAGACATTCATGTGCATACCTGTGCCGAGATAGGTTGCGGGGGGCCCGGCAACCCCGTAAAGGAAACAGGTGGCGATGCAACAGCAGCGGTAGCAGCAGCCGCGGCCGTTGCTGCTGTGCTCTCTTCCTTAAGCCGCTCCATCCTGAGGAGGCCCAAGTCTACCTGGTCCCTGCACTGCTGCTCGCGCTCCTCTCGTTCTTCAACGGAGCCCTGACGTGAAAAATGTAGATAGGGCGTGATAAGTACACTATACCGTAACACGGTTTTGATTCCGGCAAGGGATTGCCTGTTGTTTGACGTACACGTATAACAGGCTACATGGTGGGCGCTTTGGCATTGAACCGTGTCAACAGAAGGATTGACTCATTGGGTGGCGGAAGTATGAACACTAAAGTCTTGAAACGGGTGCACAAGGTCCAACATCGGTACATGAAATATTGTCAAAAACGTACTTGCAGCCGTTCTAGGACCAGCAAGAGCCAGGCTCCTGTTCTTTTTATAGTATCGCCCGCTGCACGTTAGTCCCTGCACGATCGGCTGGTGCTTGTGGGCGAGCCACGCATGCAGCACACGAACGAAAATCGTCGACAAAGCAAGCGTCCACGCGTGTGTATCCATTTCTCGCTGATCAGCGTAACAAAGATGTGCATACTAGTCCGGCCATCACAAGCACTTGCTTTGTCGCACACACAGGCCGTTACCCGACACCACCATTCAATAGCGATGCCGCCATCTTAACTGGAGTGCGACAATCAAACGAGAAAACGCCACATATCGAGAGAGAAAAAAAAAACACGGCATGTGCAAGGCCGGAAGAGGAGAGACCAGCAAGGCGCGATGTCGATCCACTCCGACTCTTACCTTCAACTCTCCCAGCTGGTTGAGCAGCCCTTGGAGCGGAGCCGTGTCGGCCGCCTGATCCTCCTCCATCACCGCTATCCTCGACCGCAGCTGCTTCAGCTGGGAGCGCAGCTGCTCGATAACGATGTCCTTCTCCATCAAGTCCAGCTGCACGTCATCTGTGGTGCGTGTGAACAAATAACGGGGGCGCCTAGGTGATGTTCGAGAACGTTGTAACGGATTAACCTCCATCAAACAAAAGATATGAACGCGGGATCGATCCCCAGTTATGTACGACACTGTTGAGGTACCGTTAAGACATTTCCAGCAGCACATGGCGAGGGTCCGTCCCTGGAGATCGCTGCCGTAGTGGGAGGTCAAAAGCTCTGTAGCATATCTTTACACTATGTTTGATGAGGGTTAATCCATTAGCTCTGGTCCAACAGATGAGACCGTGCTTCCGCAAGCAGAAGGCGCATGTTTTGTGCATGTTCCGGCTTGCCGTTCTGACGGCTTGATGGGCGACACAAAAACCAAACCCGTACACTACACCGCTTCGGGAACAGCGGCTCAAACGGACTCGCCTATGGTTCCCTCGAAGCCCCCATCGAGCCACCGGTCTCTAGCTCCCAACACCGCAGCAGGCGCGCCCCCGCTGATGGCACCAACGCGTCGGTGCTCAGGACCTTCCGCTTCCGCCTCTCCCTTCTGCACTTTCACCGCCACCGCATGACCACCGCCCCCCTCCGTCTCCCCATCGCTCCCCTCAGACTCCCTCTCTTGCAAACCCTCCCAGCGCCTCCCGTCGAGACGAGCACCACCCACCCCCTCGCCGCCACAACCATCATTGTCTCCCCCCGCGGTGGCGTCAGAACCGGACGTGGCCCCCAACGCTTCCGGGGCCCCGTTCCCGCCAAGAGACACGCCTCCGTCGCGCCTCCCCGAAGAAGATGCGGCCAGCGCCAAAGCTTCCGCGAGCTCCACCCGGAGGGAGTCCACCGCCTCTCGCAGGTTACCCTTCTCCTTGGCAGACCGGTCGCGGTCGTCCCGCGCGGCCTTCAGCCTCGAGGACATGGCCGCCTCGTCAGCCTCGGCTTGGCGTTCTCGGTCCTCCAGGGCTTCTCTGAGCGACATGAGGTTGTGTTGGAGGCGCGCGCGTTCCTCGGCCCACTCTACCCTATTCCCGATTGATGGCCTGCGGGAGAACGGCGAGGTAGGGCAAACGGAATCCGTTGAGACGGTTCGCGAATTGGGGAGGGGGGGGGGGGGGGCAAGGGGGGGCAAGACGTGGGGCGAATGCGTCGTTCACCCGGGTTGCAAGTTCCCACAAGAACCCTTTTTCTTTTTACGACAAAACATCGATCACGCGGAGCCCCCACAGCCGCCGAAATCGGACAGGTCGGTATTCGTCAACAACTCCGGCTGTAGTGGCGATCCAAAATGTTGCCAACCCTCTGTAGCAACCTTAGGCATGTCTCTACACCATGGTGCCATGAAAAATTCGCACTGGATCGTTTTTCGAAGGTGTATAGAGCGTTGAAGGTCAAATTTCGGGAGATCTTGCCCGAGAATTTCAAAAAAAATTGGAGGTAGACACATGCGGCGTGTTTAGTCGATATAGGTGATAGAGTGCTTCACTGGAACGATGTCTGCGCGTGTAGAATATGACATATTTTTAGGTATCCTGATTATTTCATAGCCCGCAGCCATCCGTGTGGGGAGTGCCAGCGGCGACAAAGGTGTGCACCAGATGGTGTCACAGGGCAACACATCATGGGGGCTCAAGCGGGGTACCACCGATTTCCGCGGAGCCCCTTCATCATTTTTTTCTTGCTTTTGTGTGACGTGCAACCCGGTTGCGCTAGTCCAGCAGTATTTAGACCCATAGTCAAGATCTCTCTCGCGAAAACACACGTCGTTGACGGAATCCGCCGCGAGAAACGCGCATACCTGTCGGCGCTTCCTTCTCCACTTTCCCCGTCCGCTCCCGCTGCTGCTCCGCTAGGACTTACGACATTTTCTTCCGCCTCGCCACTACCCCCAGCCACCGCCGCCGCCGCAGTTGCCTCCTCCAACGCCTTCCTCAGCTCCCCGACCACAGCCTCCGCCCTCGCCGCTGCCTCGCCGCTGATCCTAACCTCCCCCTTGAGCCTCGCCGACAAGGCTTGCATCTGCCTGTCGGACACCAAGATGTCTTCTTCCCTGGCTGAGAGGGAGACGCCTCGCCGACGGTTTTCTTCCTCGAGCTCCCGTGTGCGCACCGCTGGGACACGCCGCCGGGGGAGGGTACGACGAGATGAGAACGCGTGAGGGAAGCAGAGGAATAAACGGGACGGGGAGGAAAGATCCTTCGGCCACGAGACGATCCCCGGCAGTCCTTCCTTCTAGTACGCCGAAGGCAAACAGCTCGGGGTTTCTTGTAGTCGACAACATCTTTGTTGAACCAACCGAAGAGCACACAAAGCAGAAATCGCCAAGCGACCAAACATATCTATCTCACCAAGCCTCTCCATCGCCACGCTCTTCGCCTCCAACTCCCGTGTGCGCTCTCTCAGCAGCTCCCGCAGGCCCTCCACCTGCTTTCGCCCGCCGTCTCCCTCGCCCGCCACAGCAGCAGCTTCCTCGAGACCGCGCACAAGCGCTCGCAGCCGCAGCGCCTCCGCCGCCCGCGCGGCTCTCTCTTCCTCCCATCCGACCTTGCCGGCCACGAGGCCGTCCACCATCTCGGCGAGGGCGAGAGAGCGGGCCTCTGCCGCCGCGGCTTTCCTCTCGGCCGCCTCGACAGCTGCCGCCAGGGCCACAGCAGCCTCGCCATCAACCTCCGGCGTCGCAGCAACGGCGGTGGCGGCGCCGCTCCCCTCGGGCCGCGGCAACGATAACTCTTCCCCGCAAGCGCCGGACTCCGCCGAGCGTCGACCCGACCCGTCGTCGCCGCGCGCAGCATCCACGCCTTCGTCGTGTCGGAGTCGGGACTGGACCAGCTCTCGCTCCAAACGCGACCGGTCCAACTGGAGCGCTTCGATCAGGGCCGACTTGTCTGAGAGGTCGTCGGCAAGGGAAGCGGCGCGCGCCGCTAGCGAGTTGCTCTGCCGCTGAAGCATCGACACCTGTGTCCAGACCACGGAGAAAGAAGAGTTATCGAACGAATAGCAGATGCGTGCGGTTGGTAAGCCACCAAGGAGAGGACGCGAAGAAGTAACCAGATATTGCGGGAACACCAATCGCTAGCAGGGCATACAAACAGAAATGTCTGATACCAACGCAGGAACAGCTGCTGCTTCGACCATCAACAGGAGGCACGCAGACCAGAGTTCTACCCGGACCCAAAACCAACCGCAACCATGTACTTGTAGCGGACCCTATACCCTAAACGTGCGAACTTCAGGGCCAAGGAACTCCCGCACAAGCCTACGGTTGACTTGCCTGATGGTCCCGGAGGCCAAACAAGTCTTCCAGCTCCTCGCAACGCCGTGCCCGCTCCTTGAGCTTCACGGCCAACGACCGGGCCAATCGCCGCGCTTCTTCAACTTCGCCTTCGCCATTCTCTAGCGCCGGAGACGACGCAGCACCGCTGTCTCCCCTCCCGCCACCCCAAAGGCTGGTCAACATAGAGATCCGCTGCTTGTATGACGCCTCCTTGGCGTAGACGGTTGGTTCCGAGCGCAGAGAGACGGTATCGAAGGATCGGTCTACAGTCTCGGGTGAACTGTTCAACGGCAGGCGCCCGCCGTTGCCGGCGTAAAAGCCATGCGCCCTGCGGTCTCGCCTCCCGTCAAGCCCCGTCGATATCCGGCTCACGGTAGAGCTAGGGCCAACACCGACGTCACCGGGCGACGTTGGTGCTATCGCTGCCGTGCAAAACACCCCTGATGTGTGTCGTTGAGGCTGGTGTTGACTGGGGCCGCACGCAGGGACCGGAGGGTCTTGAGCATCAGCAGCCGAAGTCGAGTCAGCCGGCATCAACCGGCGCTCTTCATCCCCCGCCACCTGACCCGACAGCGACAACCCCCCGGTCGGCCCATGGGTAGGAGTAGGGTTCCCGCACTGCTGTCCGGCGTTACCGCCGTCTCCGACGTGTTCGTGTGCAGAGCTGTCGTTGGCAGCAGCTGGAGCTACGACGTCCATTCCGTTGGTTTCCTGACGGCAAGCCTCCGGCACTAGCCCAGCCTCGTAGAGTACCTGCGCGAGCCCTTGCGACGACGAGTCTCGGCCACTTTCCGGGCTATAGGAGACGCCGACGGCAACGTCAGCAAGGTCCGCCATGGCGCCGGCGGCATGACCGTCAGGGCAGAAACATTCGACGCCAGAGAGGGTATCGGAGGCTGCGGTGTTGTCGTCGTCGCTGCCCTGGCCCAACCCGACCTGCTGTGCGCCTTTCCACCATGCAATACCGTCGTCCTCCTCACCCATGCCAGCACCCTCGGGGGCGCTCTTTAGCGTTTGAGCCGTCATCATATCCGCCTCGTCCGCTGGCCTGGCCCACCCCAATCGCTGCTGCTGTTCTTCCACTCTGCTGCCGACTCGAACAGCAGGCTGGTGGTCAACACCCTCGCCATTGGTTACGCCGACAGGTCTGGGCTGAGCCTCGGGAGACGGAGTCGCTGGTTCGGTTCTTCCCCCGGAGCTGGCGACGGTGGTGTCGTTGCCTTCTACGACGAACATCAATGACGCCTGTTGCTGGATCCGAGTTCTCGGCGAACGGGGTGGGGGTGTTGGAGCTCCTGTTGTGGCTGGTAGGCTGGACTGGAAGGTCAAGCGCCGCTCCGGGCGTGTTGTTCTATGTCGTAGTAACGCCACAATCTGGTTCGCGTGGGAAACGGCAAGGGGTAACGTCGGGGTTTTCGTACAACGATTGCGGTCGTATCACAGCCACCGCCGTCGACGCCTGGTTCGGTATCTCTACAGCTACTGCTGTAGGTCCCCGCTTGTGAGCTGTAAAAACAATGAAAAGAGAAAACTTGGCTGGGGTCACGATGTTGTTTCAACCTTTGATTCACACCTACTGCTGTCATCCACGACTTCTACTGCTGTGGTTCACATTCACTTGAATTGCTGCTGCCGAAGGGAGGTGCACGAGAGCAATCCTCGCGCTAAGTCAACATGCCAACAGCGCCGTGTGTCGTACCATACACACGGAATTGCTGTTTTTGAACCCACAGCATCGTATTCCAAGACTCTTCTATGTACGTCGTCTCATCACCTTTTCGAACGACATGTTACCGACCGGAACGTCGCCAACTCCTGTCAGCACATCACCGGGCCGCACCGCACCGGTACGCTGCGCCTGCCCAGCGCTCCCGTCAGGCGAGCTCTTGAACCCAGCAACACGGCATCCGATCGCCCTCCCGCCTGCCTCCCAAACCGGCTCTGCGAAGTCAAGCGCAACCAAAGTTCGGTTGGGGTGCGTGAAGGAGACTGTCGGGGTGCATCCCCGACGCCGTTCCTCGGTTTGTGGCGTGTTGGCGTCGAGTTCGCTGGGAAGGATGGCGTGTCTGCACGTTGGTACTTTTGCAACCGCGCGAGAGCCTATTTCGTTCGCTTGGTGATACCGTTTAGAAGAGATAGATACGTATTGAACACCAAACTCAGACCCAGCTTGGTGTCTGTCTCGCAGGATCTGGATGAAGAGGCAACATCTCAAGCCATCTCGACGTGATAGTCTGAGCGTACGACTCACCGAGCTCTAGCCCCAAAGGCCCCGGATAAAAGACGAGCGAAGTTGTCGCTGGAGCCATCATCAACCTAACGGCTGTTGGGATGCTGGTGACAGATGATGATGTGGTGCTTCTCGTTTGAATCGCCCTGTCGATGACGAGCTCGTGTCGAACAAGCTTTCGCCTGTCATAACGGCACCCTTGACAGCGATGCTTAGGTTTTCAGCGGCCACACCGCTTCAGCGTACCAGTGCCCACAGGTGTGGGTCTCTCTCTCTCTCTCTGCTCTGCTGCTCACTCTGGCTCGGCGGGTGCTCAGTTTGCGACCCCCCCTCCCAACCTAAATCTGGGCACTCAGTCCTTTCTGTTGGCCCCCTCCGCCGTGCTCTTGGTCTACACTGGACTGTGGAGGCGACGGGTGTACTAAATTACTGTTGGATTGACGTAATTCAGAGATATTCTCCGTTACGACAGGTGCTCTCTGCAAAATGCAAGTATAGTCGTATGCATACATACGAGAAAATAACAAAAAAAGGTGCGTTGTCGCCTGCAAATATTTAATTGTGGCACAAGTACATTTATTTGTCACCTGGGCCCTCAAACTTCTGTACTTCTGTGCATTCGGGGGAATATTGAGTAGCCTACAGGAGGTAAACATAACTGTCGATGGAACACTTTTACTGTATCGGGCCCGTTGGACCCGTTGTTGTCGCAAAACATTGATGATGTGAAGTGAACGAATACGAATTCGTTCTTTCCTGGGGGCTGCCTGGAACAACAGGTCCTTATGGCGACCATGGGATTGCACATGGCTGTGTTGTCGAGGAATCCACGCTCATCTCGAGACAAGGCGCAGCTCCTCGCCAAGACAAGATGAATTGAGCACCAACATGTACGTACATGCGTCCCGTACTTTCCTTGCCCATTCTCCCCCAAACAACGAGAACATTGACTCTTGTTTGCTCTTGGCGAGCCACGTTGATGAATCATCACCACACCTCCGTCGAACATCGTTCACAATACGCCCGAGGATTGCTCATTGGTCACCCTTTGGCATTCGTGTAAAGTCTTCATTTGAGCCGCCCAAGACACAACACAACACACAAAACACATACCGGTATATATCAATGGGTCGTCGTCGGGACCTCTATGCGCGCGCCAAGCTTGTTGGTGCAGCGCGACAAAACTATGTAATCAAACCAATCCAAATCAATTTGACCCTGGGTTCCTTCCTACACGAGCACATTTCACCACTTCAGTCGGTCGATACCAAACAGCGGCGTTCAAGAAACGAACACATATAGTCTAGAGTAACAAACACAGCATGATCCTCCTCCCCTCCGCAAAAAAAAAAAAAGTTTTCGTGCCTCAGCCACCTTGATACTGATTCACCTTCACCAACAACAGCAACAACAAAGCACGGCGTGAAAACCACACACGGGATGATACATATGTCCTTCAAATGCTGAACAAAAAAGTACAACCAGGCAAGGATGGCAACGTTGAAAAGCGCACTACTGGGCCGTGTCGACGCACATAGCACACAAGTGTTGTCTCAATCCTCCGGCTTCTTCCCCCATCCTTTCCGAACTTGCGATAACGGGCAAGACAACAAAAACGCCGGCGTTCCACCTATAAGCCCGTTGTCCTCGTCTCGCATAGCTTACCAAGGGCTTTGCCGTCAAAACTGACCAAACAAGACACGAAACCGTGGGTTTTCTGACACGCGTCCCTCGTGTGAGGAGAAAAAAAAAAGAAAAAGAGGGAACGCTGTTCGGTGTCTACACAAACCAACTGCTGCACATCACTGCCAAACGCATACGCGTGAAAAAAAACAGACGGAGCGAGCAATTCACTTGCTGCCCTGCTTTTGTTTGGTGCCTACACAAAAATCAATTGCTGCACATCACACCTCCAAATGCATGCGGACGAGTGAAAAAAACGTAGCAACTCGCCCTGGTTTGCTGACACTCCATTGCTTGGCAAACCCACCTCAATCGACGATGAAAACCCCACCAGGTGTTTACGCGCTTCTATCCATTGCATGCATGAGACAAAATGACACACCACGACCGAAGATCATGCTTGGTCAGCAGCAGCTAAAAATGAAGAACACCAGCAGTCCGATCCTAACCACCGCAACGGAGGGACAAGGACACCGATGAACAGTAACAAGAATATTGGGGCTTCGCCTAGCTTCGCTTGCTCTCCCCCACACACCCGTCGACTGAAAACGTTCGTAACGTTTCGAGCGCGCCCCACCCTTCGACCCCCCACACACACCCAACACACACAAACAAAGTGCACCTGTTTATTTCTCCTCCAACGGCACGAGCCCGCAATCGATCCGCGGGATTCTGGTCTCGACAATATCAACGTGCGTCTATCATGTATCCCCACATCTCTCCCTGGCTTGCGCTTGCGATGTCATGGTCCTCCCGCCGTCGCCTGCTGCCCTCATCCACGAAGTGTTCGCCTCCGCCCCCCCCCGTCCTAGATGCATCATTGCAGCGAATAGATCAGCACCCGAGCCTATATGCCAGAGAGCGCCGACACTTTCGTTCCCTGCTGCAGCGTGCCATGCGGTGCGGTGCTGACTTCATACAGTCGGTGCCTTGCCACCTTGTGCAACCGCGGCGAATCTGGTGTCGAGTTCATCTCGACCCAGCTCGCCAGCAGCGGCAAAACCGGCGGCGGAAGTACGTAGCTGACCCGACCTCCTTTCCCGGAGCCACCTTGACCCTGTTGCGTTACCAAATGATGGTAACCGCTTGAGAGAATTGACTCCGGAAATCAGAAGAAGCAGCAGCAGCAGCAACAGCACGCAGCATGCAGCAGCATTCCTTGCTTTCTAGCCCCCCCCTAAAAAAAGACGCCTTTCGCGTTGTTGCCACGGCACACGACCAAACTTCACACGCATCCCACACCGCCTTCGTAGTGGACGAGCTGGCAGGCGGGGGTGATCATCGGGAAGGAGAAGACATCGGGGGCGCCGGGGGGCTGAAGGCGGTGCTTGATCCGCCTCTTTAGCCCCTGACCTCCCCTAAGCGCCTGCCGCAGCTCCCTCTTCAGCACAGCCTCCAGGGCCGGCGCGTACCTGGCCTGCTGCGCCATGGCCAGCCCGAGCCCTTGCACGTCCGCCAGCGCTCCCAGGCAAAGCATGTTGCTCAGCGATGACGTCGGCGGCGCGGTCTTCGCAGCGGCGGTGTCCGAAGCGGCGGCGGCAACCGCCTCCTGGGCCTGCTGCTCTTCCTCGGCCAGCTTCCGCACCTGCTCCGAGAGGCGCATGGCGCAAGACCACCTGCCCCCCGCAACGCCCGCGGCCACCACCGGCTCCGCGAGGAGCTGGGCGATGAAGCGCGCCGCCGCCACAAATTCTAGCAGATCCGCGGACTCGTCCACCGTAAGCTCCAGCCCCGCCGCCGAACCGTTTTCTTCACTGACGGAGCCCCTGCTGCCGGGAACGCTCGGGCTGGCCAGGTCGGCGACGGACGCTCTCGCTCCATCGCTCCCTGCATCCGCTTTCGCTTCACCTTCTCCCCCTTTCACGGCGAAATCGGATGACGGCAGCTCGTCAACGGCGCCACCAGCGGAAGGCCCGCCCGCTTTCGCCGCCGATGACCCACCGCCACAAACAGCAACGGGCAGCAGCGGCGGCGTTGCCGCGGCAACAGACGGGGAGGAGAACAAGTGGGTCGGCGATGCGGCAGCAGCAGCAGCAGCCGCTCGGCGGCACTCGAGAGTGTACTCCTGTACGGCCGCCCAGACCCTAGCGTCGAGGGCTTCATCGCCGTCATCGCCGCAGCCGTCCCAGCCGGCCTCCTTCGCGGCCAAGGTGATCCGCGCGGCCAGCGGCATGAACGGGTGCACACGGCCGAGGGCAAGGGTAAGCAGCGCCGCGACGTCCTCCGTGTTGAACTCCAGCGCCCCCTTGTCGTCAAGCACCGACACGCAGCCGCAGAGCCCCCTCTCGGCAGTGGCCGCCTGCGCCGTCACAGAGGAGCCCCAGGCAGCGTCCAGCAGCCCCTGCTGCCGCAGCAGAGCCGCCCGGCCGGGCACGATGACGGAGAGGGCTGCGGCGGTCGGGGACGGCGGCGACGGCAGGTTTGCCGTGGGCACCGAGTCGTCGTCGTTCTCGTCGTCGCTCACGTCATCGGCATCATCATCGCCGTCGCCTTCGCCGTTGCCGTGGGGGTCCTCCGCTTGTTGCGGTTGATCGTGCTCCTCCTCGTCCTCCTGGTCGTCGTCGTCGTCGTCGTCGTCGTCCATGCTGTCCAGCTCCTGCTGCTGCTCGTCGGGGGCCTCGCACTCGCACGTGTTCAAAAGCAGCTGCGTCCACGAGATGGAGGCGGGGCCATTGGTCAGAAGGAGGGGCAGGCGTCGGCTCACATAATCAAATGAAAAAATGGAGGACCACCTCTTCGGAGAAGGGTCGTGTCCACAAAGTCTTGGCGGTGAGCGCGTTTTAAACGGTGTCGGGCAGGATCAAAAGCCCCCCACAATGGAGACACAGAATATTGTTGTCCGTGAATAAACAGCGGTTTACATTCGAATCGAAACAAGCCCAAAGGGACCGACGCGAACGCAACAGACCGACGTTCGTGGCTGCAGTTTTACGTTGTTGTTTTCACGCTAAGAAATCACCGGACAGTACACTCTTCGTCACAGTAAAGGCCACCAACATGCGTCGCTTCAAGCTATCAACCGAGCAGAGGTTGAGAAAACAGGTCGGCGGGCATGTCACCACCCCCGAAAGCATAGAGTTGAAGTTTCAAGAAGATAGGGGCCGTATTCGATTTTTCGATACGGGGAGCGCTACGATTCGAGAACAGAAATGCTAGCCTAGCACTGATTGCTCGGTGATTCAACGACCGGCAATAAGTCTAGCCGAAATACACAAAGGGCGGATTAGACAGTTCGGAAGACGTACGGACGCAACACGCCTATGCAAGAGCAACCAGCCCAAGCACAGTCGTGCCTCGCTTAAGGACGCCAAACTAAGGAAAATCTCTTGGCTAAGGACAAGTGTTTTTCACGAGCATGGTGGCCCGCAGAAAGTACAACATAAGGAGGGGTATCAACCTTAAGGAAACTTTTTTTTAGCTAAACAAAGGGTGTTTCCTGAACCGAAGTTCAGTTTAAGGGGAAATGGACACCTAAAGATAGTGCTAGACAGCGCTATCGTCGCAAGGAAGAGGCGCGCAAAACGGGCGGGAGAGCTTATCTTATGCAACCGAAACGTGAGAACGGGCGGCCAAGACGTGGCAGGAACCAGATAAGAATGATTCTCGCGACGCGCAGGACTAAGTCGACGGTGGATGGCAACACAGCAGTTGTCAACTTTCGTGTAGTGGTTGTAGCGAAAAAAGGGAGGAATCCACTTCCTCATCTGAGAAGGGAACAGTTACCTGGCACATATATGTTACAAACAAGATCAAGAAATGTATGTATAGGCGCACCTTGCTTGTTGTGTGTTATCATACCCATACCACACGAATCGGCGTCTGACGCGGCATTGGACGAAGCAAGCTCTAGGGCAACTTGGCGATAAACCACTGTGAGAAACTAGAGTTGTAAGATAAATGGCTCGAAGGTATATTGCGAAGCAGGTCAATCCTTGTACAATATCCATGGCCCACGGACATATAACCTCGTATAATTACTTGCCTTAGCTTCTGACTGCGGATCTATTTCTGTCGAAGGATCTTTGACAAATGCGTGCGTTGCTGATGGACTATGCACGGTGGAGGGGGGGGAAATGTTTGATTCGTGACGGGAGATGCTGGCATAAATAACTCGTAAGTCTGCAAAGCCCTTGAGTTAAGAACGGCTGGTCTCTTGACAACTTTAGTGTCGCCTCCGTTTCGTCAGCAACGGTAAAACTGTATAAAAAAAAAACATTACCCAACAAAGCCAACACACGAGGTGGGGAAAATGCAAATGTATGGACAACATGAGGGCGAACAAGGATTTCCAAGGAGAAACTAAATATTGCAAGTATGGTCAGGCGGGGCACCGCTACTAGAGAATGGGGAGGGGGGGGAGGGGCTGCGGGACCCAGGCATGGAAGCAGAAACGCTTCCGCAAGTGAAAGAACATGCTTCTTGAGCTTCGAAAGCTCGGTAGTGCAAACATGACTCGTTCTTGAATAACGTTGCTACAGTAGAAAGGACAATCGGGTCACGATGTGGGCCACGGCGAAAAGGAAGATGGCTCACGGCGTCTTCAAAAGCGGGGGGTGAGGGCGCGGGGGTGGGGGGCACGAAGCCAGGCAAACACGGGACCCCTTGGATCATGGATCGCACGCGTGCTAAGGTTTTCACATTCAGACGACAAGCAGCGGACCACCCAGCAAGTTCCAACACGGGGGCGCTCCAGCAAAAGAACATGGGTGAACCTCTGCACACTGCTGCATCCAGCCCTACATTGCGGTAAGACCCCAAATCAAAACAAACGCGGAGGCATCATGTGCACACGAGAGACTTGAACGCACCTTGAGGTTGTAACGAACGAGGCAGCTGAGGACGTCCAGGTAGCGCACACGGAGGTGACTGCCGACGGCACCACCACCCCCAGAGACGAAGGGGCCCCTCAACTCCCTCCCGCCCACCCCAGTCTTGGTCCCGCTTAGGAACGCCAGCTCCTTCGCGTAGAACGCCGCGGCGTTTCTGTGCTCGGGCCCCCACCCCCCCGCCAGGGTGACCTCTCCCGGCGCGGCGTCGCCGTTGGCGATCTCCTCCAACACCGTCACGAACGCCGCCGAGTCCTCCCGCACGCTCCTTGCCTCCGCCTCGAGGGGAGCATCGACATCCTCGTCATCATCGCCTTCCGCCGCCGCCGCCGCCGCCGCCGATCCCTCGTCCTGGCTACCCCCATCAGAGCCAGAAGAAGCCTTGTCAAGGCCACCAGCGGACGCCGCAGTGCCATGCTGCTCGTTGTTGTCGTCCCCCCCGCCGCCGCCGCCATCAGGTTCACCACCGGCGGCGGCGCTGAACCGATCGAAGTAGCCCTCGTACTGCCGACCACCGCCGCCGCCGCGCCGCTCGAAACCACCCCCCTCTCTGCCGCCGCTGTTGCCGGGACCTCCCGCTGCGAGCTCCCGGATCCGTTCCGCGGCAGACAAGATGGATTCGAGGCCGCCAAGAGCACTCATCATGCCTTTCGCGGAGCCCCCCCGCTGTGGATCCGGCGTGTCGACCACGCTCATGTCGTGGGTAGAGAAACGAACGCGGTTCTTGCTGGGCAGGCGGCGCGAGCTCCCCGACCTGCGAAGGGCGGACAGCGGCGTCTGAGTCGAGGCTGGGGGAGGCAATGGCGATGGGGCGGCGATCGGCGTCGTGGCCCCCGCCGGTACCGCCGCCGGCCCTCCTCGGTGCGCCCACGGCGTGCGAGGGCGAGGGGCCCGCCAGGCGGCCTCTCTTCGCGGGGGGGGAGGGTCGTCACCACCACCACCACCGTGGCAGCTATCGGCGTGTTTCTTGTCGCAGCCGGTCAGGACGACCTGCTCCTCGCTAGCCGACACGCACGCCAGCAGGTCCATCACGGACGGGTGAAGGGCGCACGGCCAGTGGTCGAACCGCGCCGGCGTGTCGCCTCTCCACCTCCACCCGACGGCCTCCGCGCAGTGGTCGCCGTTCCTGCTGTGCAGGAGCCGGAGCAACGCGGCGTGGAAGATGGGGTCCGTGGCGCCCAGGGAGGGCGGGGCGGCGTGCGGCATGCGGCCCTTTCGCCTTGACGTCGCAGAAGCAACAGCAGCAGCAGCAGCAGCAGCAGGGCCAGCTACGGGGGCGGCGGCATCATCGGCCGCCAGAGCCGGGGGCTTGGCCGCGGCGGCTCCGCCCGAGTACGGCGCGAACGGGCTCGGAGCCTGGTTGATCTTGGAGGGCGACTCGCACAGGGGGGGTACCCACGGCGGGGAGGCCGGGGAGGAGGATGACGGTACCGAGGCCGACGACGACGTCGCCGGGACCGGGACCGGGATCTTGAGGCTGAGTGAGATGTCTCCGTTCTCCCCCCTGCCGCGCTTCCCGCGGACGGGACTGCCGTCGTCGCGTGGGCGCTTGGACGCCTGCTGGACACCCACAACGCCGCCGCCGCCGCCGCCAGCTGCCGGAGGCGCGGCGTGTTCTTCTAAAATTCCTGAAATCTGAGGCGTGTCCATGTCCGGCATTGTTGTGTCTAATCCGTCAGCTCGATATCAAGCAGCAAGTTTCACGGCCTGCCTCCCTGCACAACAACGACGGAGAGATAAACGGGCGGGGGGAAAGCTGAGAGCGCCACGCATTTTCTTTTCCGTGAGTGTGACTTCGAGCACAGCAGCACAGCAGAGCATGGAGATGATGGGATTCAGTAGAGGGCACAAAGGGTAGGCCCCAACGGCGTCGAGTAAAAAGCGAAAAGCTCACGGACTACTGCTGTGTCATCCAACAGAAGACAAAGACTCTACAGACAACACTCGGGTGGACACAGCAGCAGCAGCAGCAGAGGAGAGGTGGTACGTATTTCACTGCAATTCCGATGTGTTCCCTATGACGTGTCTAATCAGCACTCCACCCGCTTCGATCGTGCCACGGGTGAACGCGAGGAGCGACGGACGCGGATGTTACGAAATCTGGCGCACGTTGTTCCAGAGCAAGGTTTCGGCTCAAGTGCGCCCTCTGTTCCGATGTGTGAGTGCGTCTAACCGGAAATGTGGAGGCGTGAGCCCGTGAGCCCGTGAGTCCTTTGGACCAATTTTACAACTTTACAACGCCGCCTCGGGGAGAAAAACAGCCGCTCGAGGGACTACACTATTCTACCAGTCGTGCTTTCGGGGCGGCGGTTCATAGCCCACCTACGCGTTCCTCCGGGATACTGGACTCGGGGTACGGTAGTGGCCGGGTGGGAAGGGTGGCAGGTTGAACGTCGATTCGTCCGTGCTCTCGCCGCCTAAAGGTGTGCGGACTGGGGCTGGTATGCTGCCTCTTGGTTCCGATCTCGGGGGCATCGCGGATTGCCAACCGGTCCTGGGGTTTCCACGGAATAAGCGTTTTTACTCCGGGGAAGGGGAAGCGAATGCCACGGGCGTCGCGCAACACATTGCGCAAAACAGGCGGGCGACAACCGACCACGCGTCTCTGATTCGTGTCAGTGCGGTACGGGCTTGTCCGTGGAAGCAAAGACACAGCCTCCTGGTGCTCTTGAAACATTGACTGTTAGCGTATAGGTTCGACTTCTTGAGAAGCGGTGCAGATGTCTCGGAAAAACATAGACTTTAAAGACTCGAAATAAGTCCAGTACCCAGCCGGTTTCCCTTCACTTCACTCACTTAAAAGACTCCACCACATCCCGTTCGACTGTGGGTATATCTCGAATGGGTAGTCTTTCTGTGTGTGTTTTTATTATTCCTTAATTTCTATTTTGTTTTTCCGGTCGATCACAACACGCGGCCCCGCCGTGTTTACCTCGAGGTTCGTCATTTCAGTCTTGTTCAATGTTCGAGGGGACTACCGCATTCCTATTTCAGTCGGTAGCATGTACATGTAGACTCCCGATACTGGATTTGCTAGAACACTGGATACAGCCAGTCCTACCAAAAGGTGTGTCCCATCCTACTGACCACGAACGATCGTACTTACAACAGTCAGCATCGACGCGTATGGTAGTCAACGGTGGCTAGTCTACATGTAGACCATCCACGAGTCGACATGAAATTCGCCCCTGTTCGTAGCAAGGAAGCTGTCTTTTACACTTGACGGCGGCAACAATCAACACACAATCATCTCCGTTTTCACCGTTCTCAATGTCCGCGCTCTCTCGCTCTCTCAACCACCTTTCATCCACCGCTTTGTCTCAACCGCATTTCATCCACCTCTTTTGACTGCCGGCAGAGGTTACAAGCATCCGCAGCTAAAGTCATCCACGCAATCACAAGCAGACACCTGGCTCGTCTACATAGCGTTCATCATCATCGCGCCCAAGCAATCGCGTCGCCTCGAATGGCAAGAACTCACCCCTAAACGAACGGCCCCGCAGCCACCAGGGCCTTCTTCCATCAAGGATCAATTAAAGAACAACACGCACGGGGCTCGTTCCAGAAGGATCAATATAAAAAAAAACATGCAAACGAGCCCCGTGATCGCACCAGCACCACCGACAACAACAACACTATCTCGTTAACCGAACCCACGAGCATGCGTCGTAAACAACAGGGTGCATGGTATTCTTGTCGTGGCAGCCCCGGAGGGTTGTCAAAACCGGGGACAAGTCTCCCTCGAAGAACCGCACTGAGTAAGTAGGAGGGGCGAAACAAAGGAATGAAACGGTGAACAGAGGAAGAGCGGACAGGGGGTGCGGGGGGGGGGGGGGTCAAATTACAAGCGGTAGTTGTAAAGTGCCGCGAAAGATTCATCCACAAGAATACGAAATAAGGGAGAGAGAAGACGAAATGCACGCCCAAGGTTTGCAACAGCAACCAGGCCGGGATGCAACACTGTCCTGGGTTGAACGGAATAAAAGTGGAGGGACGGGAGGCCCTCAAAGTAAAAACCTCTCACAGCGGTTGGAAATTTACGATACAATTGTCAAATACTGTGTATCTACAAAACGAGTTTACCCTTGGACAAAGCCGTCGCGGCAAAGGGAAAAAAAAAAAAAAACTCTCCGCATCAGCACTTCTGCACGAAGAAAACAAAACTCTGTAATTTGAAGTACACCATGGTACCATACATACGCAGCAAACCACATGCCGCCGACGCCCAAGCAAAAACCCCTCTCCTCCGTGGCGCTCACTTTTCGACCGCTTTCCCTCGAAGAACTCGCCCGAGCACTCCTCAAGGGCCTCCAGCACCTCCAGGCCCTGGCACAGTAGCATGACGTCATCGTCGGCGAGAGCCATGGAAGACTCCACCGCCCCCGCCGCCTTCCTGACGCGGTAGGCTACCGCCCAGGCCAGCTTGGCCAGGCGCTTAGCCGCCGGAGGCCACTCGCCGTCTGGGCCGATGCCGGGAACGCACATGCTGGGCGACCTCAGCAGCGCGACTAGGGTCACGTGGGCTTCCACGAGAGTGATGATCGACTGGGACGGAACGGGATGGAACGGGGTGGAACAGGAAGGAATTGGATGGAAGTTGATGGACTAGGGTACAATGGGACGGAAATGGATGGAATGGGGTGGAAATGGGTTGGAAATGGGGTGGGACTGGATGGACTAGGATGAAACAAGAAAAAGAGACGGAATGGGTTGGGTTGACATTGTACACAATGGGGTGGGACAGCGTGAGACGGGTTGTATCGGGACCAAACGGAATGGACTGGCGCGTGGGATAGATAGGTCGCGGAGTGGAGTGGAACGCGTGGGGAGGACAGAAAGGACCATAGCTGTGCGTACCTGGCCCGGGCCTAGGGTAGCTCGAGAAACGTGAAAGAGGCAGAGTCTCGAGGGTAGAAGTGGTGGCGAACTCATGTTGGCGCGATCGATGGTTGAAAATATTGATTGCTCCACCGACAAGACTCACGTTGGCGTCATCGCTTGTTGAAAAGATTGATTACTCCACAACCGAAAGGGTAAGAGGGTAAGAAGGTATGAGGTGCTATCGAAACCCGACCGACACGTGTAGGGAGAGCTCTCTGGCCATGAGATATTTCCAAAGTCACTCTCTCTTTAGCATTGGCGACGTCCTGATTGTGGAGCAATCGAGCTGTACAAATCGATCGGACACTTGTGCGTTCGTCCGCACTGCGCAGAGTATACAACACTAATGCTGCTCATGAAGAGTTGAGGCGGGTCGCGTGCAAAACGAACCTCGCCGCTCTGTGCAATAACCCGCTCCGTCTCACGCGGTCGGGGCGGAAGCGCAAACCACCCCGCACCATCGAAGTTCGAGTCTCCACCGTTCGAAATCCTACAGCAGCAGGCAGCAGGGGCACTGCTGTACACTGTCGAGGTCACAACTGTTGCTAGTGCGATACAACAACAGCAACAAGCAATCGTCCCCTCCTCTCCCCCATTGTTGCCGCAACAGCCAACTCGACCAGTGTTTACCCACCTCCTGACCGTCGCCTCCTTCTTGCTCTCCCCTTTCGCCGCGCTTCCCCACCCACTCCCTCTCTACAACTCCGCAGGTGAATTCCAGCGCAGCCTCGGTGAACTGTTGCGCCGCAGCAGGCTCTCGATCGCTAGCTGCGGCGAGGACATCGCCGGCCGCAGGTGCAGCACCGGCAGTACCACCACCACCACTACCACCAGCCGCGCCAAGACGGCGGATCGCTCGCAGGCAAAGCCTGACCTTCTCGTCCCTCTCCACGCCGCCCCCAGCGCCGCTCGCGCGGCCCACGCTAGCGGCGCACTCCACCAATGCCATCCCTGCCATGCCACGCGACAGCGGAATGATAGCGAAAAACCGTTACCGCACACCAGGACGGTGTCGAAATAAGACGGTACGGTTATAGGTAGAGGACGTCACCCCAACATTTTGCAACAATGCTTCGAGAAGAGAGGGGAGTGGCATGTGCCCTCGTTATCGTCAACACTTCGTCGTGAAGCCGGAAAAGTGCGCCTCGCCCCCCTACCGCTGCCACAGCAAACCTTCGAGGGGAACGCAACCTCAGCAGGACGACGCCTTGAAGGGACCATCTCCAAATAATACTCGTTCATCGTGGCATGTGATTTAGCTCGTATGGTCTCTCCGCAGGGACTGACCGGGGGAGGGGGGGTACTCATGCAAACGCATGCCGCAGTCGTTAGACCATTGACCTCCCATCCCTACAACGCCGGGGCGGAGAGGCGACATGTCGGGTTTTCGCCGGCCCATGCTACGCTTCACAAGGATTAACCAGAAGCTGGCCATCATCCTGCGTTTGCTCATGGGCGGGAGACTACTTGCTCTTCACGCGAACATTATCGTGCATTGCGGCCGGGAAAAAACGGCGAACCCATCAAAAGCTGATGACTCCGTTGACAGGAAGAGGAAAAAATGTGAACGGAACGCAAGAGAAAACAGATCCATACCGAGACGATTGCGATGCGGCCGAATCTCTTCTGCGCCTGCCGCCCGAGCTAGCCACGCCGTCGCCTTGAGCACCTCTTTTGCCGCCGCCGCGCTGTACCTGTCTATGTTGCCCAAGGCCTGCGGAGCGGGGAGGGGGACGGCTGTGAGATAGACGGGTTCGTGACGCGCCTTTTTCTCGCGCGCTGGGTTGGGCGGCTCTCATGCAGCTGAAGGAACGAGGGAAGAAAAATAAGGCGTTCTTCTGACCAATCGCTCCCAGGGGTAAGAGCTTCATCCTATTGCACCGCAGCCAAAACTCCTCCATTATTTAAAACTATCCACGCTTTTAACGCCAAAGTAGCAAGCTCACCTTGATGAGCCGCCCAACGGCGCCCGGCAGGACCACTTCCCGAAGGGCAGTTTCCATCCCGGAGGGGGTGCTCCCGTCTGGACCCCGTTCCTCCCCCCCCTCTGCAGCCGTGCCCATCCCCCGGGCCGCCAAAGAAGCCGCGCGCAAAGCCCCCACGGCGTCTCCCAACAGCAACGGCGAGGCCATCTTGACGACGAACGTTTCAAGGAACCACCGGGGGTCGTCCATCACGACGAGGCCTCCCACCAGGCCAATCAGCTTGCGCGCGCAGGCGACGGCCGCGGTGAGGGCTTCGCGGCAGAAGGACCGTGCAGTGGAATAGACTTTCGCCCCCTGGCTCTTGGATCTGGGAGCGGGCGCGGGGGAGGTAGGAAGGCGACGGGAGCGAACAGAACATGCCGCGGGACGATGATAGTCAGCAGGCTTGACAGCAATGCGGAAGCAGAACACGCAAACTGCTTGATACGGGATGGTTTTCTATGTAAATACAACAACAACAACAACAACAACAACAACAACAACAACAACAACAACAAAAACGTAAGGAAAGCGAAACTACCCAAAACAATTCAACAACACCATGCACCAAGTCTAGCAAAAAAAAAAAGACAACCGTATCAACATCCAGCGCAGAGTGAACCGGGTCGTCAGCGTCACTCGCCTAGTCAGCAGGAGCTTAAGTCTGGAAGGCACGCCCTCCAGCATCGACAACGCCGCCGGGACTCGGTGCTCCAGACAACGCAATCGCGCGGACTGCGGCGAGGAGGGTGGGCGTCCGAACAAGAGACGTAAGAGCCACAGCGGTAAAGCGGCACGGGAAGCAGTCGATCAGTCACTTGCACGTAACGTTCAGAACGTTTACCTTCATAGAAGCAGCAAATGCACTCATAGCGTACGCGAAGTCGTATGGAACGACTCCGTGCCCTCCTCGTACGGCGCCTTCGTGTCATCTCTGGAGAAAAAGACGTTGCTGACACTCTCGACAAACCTGAGACATAAAAAAAAACACACCAGAGGATTGAAGTAGGCACAAAATACGGTAGGCCTTGCCGGTACTGGTACACTCAAATCCTCCATCTCTCTCCGTCAATTGCAGCTGAACGAAGCAATCAACAGACTGCCAGCGTGCAAAATACACACAATACTCACACACCAGTGTACCACCGCCAAACAAACCAGTCCAGCAGATTTCCGACGCGGAAAACCTAACAACAACAGGGGCAAGCCCCGTAGATCCCCACCTCTCCTTCCTCACCTGCGCGCACTCCTTGAGCGACACGAGGGCGGCCTTGACGCACTCCGCCTGCGCGCTGCTCTCCGGCACCGTCTCCGACAAGCACAGGAGGCACGAAAACGCCTCTTCCACGACCAACGCGTGGCTCTCGGAAGGAGTGCCATCTCGCCCATCCTCTCCATCGGCCCCGGCCACCGTAAAGGCCACAAGGACGGCGAGGACGGTGGCAAGGGAGGACACGGACGCGGGCCGAGAAGCACTGGCAGCTGCCTGAAGGAGAGGTGATACGTGAAAGGGCGAAATGGATATCGGGATGGGGCAGAGAAAAGGACGGGTGGGTTAGAGGTCCCGAAAGCATCGACAATAAATGACCAAGGTTCCCCTTGTAGGGGGTTTCGCATAATTAATCGGTTTACTTTGACCCACAAAGAATAGAACAACGCCAAGAAGATTCTGAAACAATAGCTCACCTGCGCGTGGTAAGATATGAGGGTGGCCAGGCGAACCGGCATGTCCTCATCTCGCCCGCCGGGCCGAACGTCGAACGGACACTCCAGCGGCTCGGCGAGGGTGATGCCCGCGCGCCGCATCCAGCCAGCTACCCACCTAGATCTCGCCTTCCCATCCCCCGAAACCCGGCTCCCGTCCTCTTCATCATCGTCGGTACCGTCTTCTTCCTCCTCGTTGTCGCTATCGAACGGATCATCGCCGTGTTCGCCGCTGGGGTCGCGAGAGTTATCATCGTCGCCGCTGGTCGCCTCGCCGAGACCGCTTCGGCTGGTTGTGCGGCTACCGCCGCCGCTGCCGCAGAACGGCAGCAAGCAGATCCCGAGCATCTCCACCCACAGCTCCAGGGCATTCCGCTCCTCGATGGTGATGGTACGCCCGCTTCTGGATGGAAATCCGTCGTCGTTTTCCTCTCCTTCGCCTTTGGTTTCTCGGCACGGTACTGCAACCCCTATTGCTGAATCGTGCGCCTTTGCCGTCCTAGTCATCACCAGCACGCAAGATGCGACCGGCCTCGCGAGGGATCGGCAGTCTGCGGAGAAGCGAGCCGGGTAAGCTGTTGCCAACGCCTCCATGTACCTGCAGCAGCTGGTGAGCAAAACTGTGGAGGAACCGGGTAGGTAGGGGGGAGTAAGTCACACCGGTATATATCGCTTGTAAGGACACGAGCCAAGCCCCGATTTCGTACAAAAAAATGCTGCAAGTGCTTTGCTTGCTGAGACGTGCGGTCACCCAAACCCGCTACCAAGGATCTCCAACCGAGCACTGCTGCAAAATCGGCAACACGTGCTCATGGCCATGGCCAAAACCGAGCGACCGCGCGAGAACACTCTCCCGCATCAACACACACCAGGTGGGAAGACTCTTCGTCCGTCTGAGCTGTGAGGAGCCGCCGCCGCCGCCGCTGCACACTCGACCCATGCCAGTACCCTCCTCGACGTTTCACTAATAGTTTCGTCCAACGTGCGTGTTGCGGCCTCATCTGTACCAGCCGCGCCTTTGAGGTGAACCTGGCTAGAGCTCTTGATTTGCTTGGCCACGCTTTGGACTGCCTGTGCCTGGTTGATGGGGCCGGCCATGGTTCAAGGGGGTGGTACGCAGCGAAAACGTTGATGTTTGTCGTTGGGGTATGGTTTGTTTCTCGGAAAGTCGAAGTTGAGGTTGAACCAGGAAACGCGACAGCCGAAAAATGCTAAGTTGCAGAAGCCAAACTGATGCTATAATAAACATTTGTAGAGGGTGCGCAACCGTATGTACCTTGGCGAGATCAGTTGCTATCTAGGTGCTCCCCCTAAATGACGTGCGATGGTCGGCTCTACTGCACTAGACTGCATTTCACGAGAATAAGCCGCCAAAGACGAAAAGTATCAGCAGGAGTCTACGCATACATGGACGACTTTCGGGCTTGACGTCATCGGTCTTGCCTGTCCTTTCGTCAAAACTGCATGTAAAAGAGCGACTGGAGCTGAAGCCAAGCCACCAGACCCACGACCAGTTGCCCAGAATATAGAAGAATTTACCCTGCACTCTGATTCCCAAGGTTTGAAAATGATTGGATATGGCAATCCATCTCACGGAGGAGGATTGGGCTTGCTGCCCAGCTAATACAACACTACCCACACACAGCACCCCGTACAACCAACAGCAGTACTGCTCAACCATCACTCTTGAGGTAGTGCGATTGCGAGGGCGCACGAAAGAAAGTATCAATGGCACCTGCGCAGTAGATGAGTTGAATCCTGGACACACCTTACCACACGAATACGCCAACACGCAAGAGCTTCATCCACAACCACCACGCAGCAGTCTACTGCTATTTGGCGCGTCTGTCTGACCCTCCTTGTGCCACACCACTTCTTTGCTGCCAATAAACCTAATCAGGTCTGCTGCTGTCTGTCGCCCTCCCTGTTGGTTATTTTCGAGGACTGCAAACGATTTACTTTCCTGTCCACCTCTACATACCTTCACGGTAGCATCATCTTCGTATGGATCGTCCATGTCGCGCAGAGCCATTCGCCGGCAAGCTCCTGCAAGATCCTCCTAAGCAGCCAGCTACAGCCGTAGGGCCAGATGATGATGAGCTGATGACCTCTCAAACGCGGCATAACCTGCCTCGAATCTCCGGAGATCACCATGGCGGGGGTCCATGAAAAAAAACACGTGTGTCTCGTCGCCCGGACACCACACCTCCCCACTGCTAACAAGAGTGGGAGCTGGAGCAGACCACAGCAGCACTGTGAGCAGCGGCGACAGTAGCCTACTTGGCGGTGTAGATTCCAGGTCGTGAATCTGCGTTGCAAACCGCAAGAAGCAACGGGCTTCAGCGTGGTTTCCTCCTGAAGAAAACGTGCTCCGCCTTGTTGTTGATCGGGAGAGTTCGTCGTCGTCGACGCTGCTCCATCATCATAGTCGTTGTGCCGAGGAGGCACCAAAACCAAATGTGCCAAGGTGCGAAAAGCTGACAGAGAGAAGAGAACGCAGCTGCGTCGGCGCGGACGGAACCCCCCTGTAGTCATAAGGCGCCTGCCGCCCCGGGCACCGCAGGTATTGCCGCCGCGTGGTACATCTGTGTGTTGTCTCGGAAACAAGTCCACCTTGCGTCAAGTTACGAGAGACGAATAGGGAGATTCAACCACTCACTAAACTGCCGTGTGTCATCTGTCCCTCACTCCGTTGTTGTGTGCACAATGAATAGAGGGACACACGCATGGAGCGGGTGCGTGGTTGGTAGCTCTGTAGTCAGGGAACTCGACAGCGTGCTGCCGTTGCGCGCGCTGGCCACGAGTTGCCATGACACCGGCCGCGGCAAGGCGTGAAGTTTTGCGCAGTAGTTCGGTACCCCTAGAGGAACAAAGTCGGCAGACACGTCATTTTGTGGGCTGTAGTGGGGTCATGAGGATACTGCGGCCCAGCTGCGCACGCATGTAGAACGACAACGACATGTGGCTGTGTTGGACATATCAAAGATGGGTGGTAGAAGGTGCATGTCCTCCTGGGCTGCTGTGTGCTGGTGCTTTGAGCAAGTATCCTGGCGGGGTATATCTGTTGTGACAAAGTGCCCAATCGTGGAAACGCCGAGAAATATATCCAGGGTCCCCCGGCCCCTTTATACTGCTGTACATGGCCATCCTTCTCTATCACTGAGCCGATACAAAAGCCTCTCTTTCTCTCTCTTGCATGCCACGGCGATGCTGTGTCCGGTCGCAATATTCCGCTGTTTCCCTTCCACCACACCCCCGAACGTGAAACAAAGGAGACGCCGCCATGTCGGAAACGTCGGCGGCAAAACTACGTGCCACCGGAAGTTCCGCCGCGCCGTCAGCCGCCGCCGCCCCCGCGACCAAGAGGAAGACCTTCAAGCGCGCCCTCAAGGGGACCGTCGGCGTTGGCCTGGCCGCCGCTTCCGCGGCGCTCATAGCCCGCTCCGACGACATCGGGGAGTGGTTGCAGTCCGTCGCGCCGCACGTTTTACCGCACACGGTGGTTGTGCCCGGTGGCGCGGACACCGCCGTCCTGGCGGACTTCGTCCTCCGGGCCATCGCGGAGGCGAAGAGCTGTGTGCAGGAGGGGGTCAACGTCTGCTTGGACGCTGAGGGTCGAGTGACGGCGCTGTGTGAGTGAATAGACGAAAACAAAGTGCGGTGTAGTGCGTAGCAAGTGTTAGTTTTGATGTTGCGAGGCGCTATTGTTACATGAGTTCGTGGATCGAGGAAGAACGTCCTGCGGTGTGTGCTCCTGCTGCTCAAGTGCGCAGCAAGTATTGCGAAGTTTTGATGTTGTGAGGCGCTATTGTATAGGTTCGTGGATCAACGGGAAGCGCCTGCGGTGTGTGCTGTATGTCTCGTCGTGTTGCTGAGAAGTGTATCAGGGAACACAAGGATGAATCCGCGGTTGAGCATAGACGAAAATAACACTATTAGTACCACTATTTATTAGCTTCTCGTCTCGCCTGCGAGTTGCGATTCACCTTTTGTATGTGTAACGCTCATGTTTTACCGAGACTGGAGACGGGAGTAAACGTCACCATTTACTTTATTCTCGTCTACAGCGCCAGTTTGGACACGCGGCTCTTGTTACCGAGGAAAGGCTTACAATAACTTACTTAATTTCACCCTCTGACCCTGCCTTGCTTACAAGATGCATTTTACCAAAAGATCAAAGGGCTCCAAGAGCTGCATCGACATTCATATGAATCCGACTCCGTCGAAAGTCCGCTAGCCGCTCTCTTGGCTAGACTCCCCCGATCCGTTTGCAACACAAGTTGGCACCCTCCTGCCGCTGCGCATGCTAGGCCATGACGGTGATCAGCTGTGCTGTCGCACTGACCATCGTCTCGATAATTTCAAAATGACTAAAGGTTGAGCGTTTACAGAAGGTCCATAATAGTTTCCCTCTGTCCCCGCTTCTTCTTGCCGTTCTCGGCGACACTCACTCACGATACGTCAACCAATCATCATTTTCGTCTTCGAACGCTCCATGTCCTCAGTAGTCGGCCGCCCTAGCCCTGACCTGAAACGACCGTCGACGTGCCCTCGTTCTTGACCCCGCCTCCTCCCCGCGGCAGACACGTTTATTTCCCAGTGGTACCTGAGCCCCAGGCAGCACGTCGTGGAGATGGCGTTGTCCATCCTGGTCCTGTCCCCGCTTGTCTATCTCTACTTCAAGCTTTGCCGAGCGCGGCTGAGGCTCAAGCGCGCGGCGGGGGCCTTCGACGCGAAGAGACCAAGCCTCCTCATGAAGCTCTGGGGGGCGGCGCTGCTCGGCCTTGTCGGAGCCGGAGCGTTCCTCAAGTTCACCAAGCAGGAGCTCATCTCGCACCCGGCGTACCTGTGGCAGCCCTGCCACGTCCACAGCCTCGTCATGGGGCTGTGCGCCTTCGTGGAGACGGAGGGATCGCTGCTGGTGATGCACGTGGCCACGACCCTGTGGTGGGGGCCGTTCCTTGCGTTCGTGGCGCCCTCGCTGCCAACCGACCCCGTCGAGGTAAGGGATGCTTTCTTTTGTTGTTATTGTAACACAACGAACCCATCTCTATCCTTAGTTTGCTTGTGTACTTCGAGTTTTTGGAGGGGGGGGGGCTGCTTGTTGGTCGTTGCAGTTGTTGTTTGGAAGAAGAATCTTGCTGTGTCCAGGAAAAGGCACCGTGCGGCACGCCCGTGTGGTTTGACTCTGGGGAGAAATTGCTTGAGAATGATGTAGATACTTGGAGATTCTTGGGCAGAAGGAGAAAAGGGGAAAAGGTGAACTGCTGTGACCTCCCAGACCTGATGATGACGAGCCTCAGAGATACACGTCGCGGTCATGGGGGCTCTAGCTAACTACCGCTCGCCCTGGCACTAGCAACTTTTCTCTCTTGAAAGATTTAACGTCCGCACGAATGACAAGGAGAAGTGCCCCGGCCGAATGGGAGGGTAGACAGAGGAGACAACACGATCGACTTGTTTGCCGCTGGTGACTCTGTATGCATCTCAAGTGCGGCGATGCCACTCGCAGTCCACGCCATGCGGACCAAGCTTGATGGACTTGAACATCAACCTTTCGTTTACGGGAGACTTTTTTTTGGGGGGGGGAGTCCTGGGTCTGCTTTAGCGTCAGAAAGGGGCCAGGCGGATGGTGCCCCCTATGTACCTCTCCTACTGTTTCATTATCTCTGATTTTCATGGTGTACCTTGGTACATACGCTCCTCCTCGGCCCATAAGGTGGCTCTTTCCTCGCACATTGTTCGCCGTATCCAGGCCGTTTCTGTACCTTTCGTTAGCAGTTCAAGCAAAAACAGTACTCGCATCGGCGCCATGCTGACGTTTTTGCGTTTCCCTCCGTTCCTTCCTATCGTGTGCTACGAAACTGATCAAACGTTCCTTAACAACGACGACGACAACGACGATACAGATCGCCATTTTCTGGGCGCAGCACGCCCTGATGCTACTAGCTCCGTTCCTTCGACTGACCGTGGGGACGAGGTGGTTGTACAGGTGAGGAGGGCGGGGGGGGAGACACAGACCTCAAGGCATGATAGCTCGCTAGTCCCGTAGCGCCTCCCAGTAAGCAGCGTTTGTTTGGGAACGTGTCGCGGTGCCTGATCATCGCTTGGAAACCCACCTCGAAAAAAACGAAAACAAAAAACGCAGGGACTTCTGGTGGAACTCCGTGGGCTTCGTGTTCTTGACCTGCTACCACTGGTGGTGGCTTGCCCCAGTCAACCTCTTCACGGGGGTGAACGTGGCCACCATGTCGGTGCCCCCAGACTCCCTCGAGATGTTCGGGAAGTACTACCGCCCGGTGTGGGGGTTGATCTGCGGTCTCCTTCAGGTGGGCCGCCGATTTTTTTTCTCGTATTGTTCGTGTTTTTCGTGTTTTTTATTTTGTGGTTTTCTTCAAGCGTGTCTGGCTTGTTTAGTAGATGTGTCTCGTTTGAGCCACTGTTGCATGCTCTCGCTTCTGGGGGTGACCGCTAACTAAATTTGGCGACCTTTTGGGGGGACGGCGGGACGTTGCAGTATATATAGGTGGTGTATACCACTGGTATTCGTTTGTTTTTGCTGGCTAGAATCATGTGTGTCGGTGACAGTATTCTAGGAAAGGCTTTCGAAACGTGTCGGGTGGGACCCGTACTTTTTTGTACCTGCGCTCTGTGCCCTCGAGTTGTGGTGATTTCGCCGTGGTGCCTTGCTGTGGCAATCCCCCTCACTCTGTTTTTTTTAGACTTTCAAGTAAGCATTCCCACCGTTTTTAAATTCGTTTGTGATGTGGTTTGACGACCTCTTCGCTGCGTGCGGCAACGACGACGTGACGCCGTGACTGTCAGTCAGTCTACAGTCGCACCATCACGGGGGGTAGGCACAACTGCCAGCAAAGGAGACGGTTCAAGAGATGGTCGCACGAAACCTTTTCGCCTTGCTTCCTCTTGGCTTCCGCCAGACGTCTTCTCGAACCTTGTTGTTGTTGTTGTCTTCACGTTAAACGCCGTTCCGATCTCTGCCTAGTACCTTCTAACAACGCTTGCGGCGTATCTATCTACGTGTCAGTAAGGTTGATGAAGGGCACAGTACTGCAAGTCTTCCAACCCTGTATTGTTGAGCCTGGCTGTCCCCTCAACTGAGCCCCTCCTCCCTTTTGCGCGACCCTTTTCCCTTTCCATGGGGTGTACCGTTCAATAGCTGGCCGCGGTCGGGGTCATGTGCGTGCTGGCCCGTGTGTTCGGGCAGATGCCGTCGTCAACAGCAGCAGCAGCAGCATCACCGACGCCATCGTCTGGTAGGGCTAAAGGTCGTTCCTCGGCCATGAAGGGGACCCCGCAACGTACCAATGGGAACGCCAGATCTAGCACCGGCAGCAGCAGCAGCTCTAGCAACAACGCCTGCGGGGTCCGCCGAAGGGTACCCGACGATGCGGTGGGGATTTCTCAGGAGAAGGCGGTGTCGCTTGTGGATGGGAACTAAATAGCCGTAGGAGCTACGAGAGCGCGCCGCCAGATTCTGGGACTGCGGGCCAACGATTTCTCGGCGGGGAAGCTTCCTGGAAAATCCCCCCCCCCAAGTAGGCCGGTTCGCTTGTGTGGACAGCGGGCGTGAACACGACGCTACGAGTATTCATTTTGGGGGCCACGGGGGGTGTCGTCGTTTGAGCGCGGGCCGGCCCCGACAATAGACACGGCGAGGAACAAGGAAGTAACGAGAGCATATGAGGCGCTCACGAGCGAGGACGTTTCCCGCGCATGCCTAGCGGCAGTCGAGAGGGGAGTGGGTGGCAGGCCAGGCGTCTTCCTTCTGCACGGAAGGATGATTGATTTTGCTTTGCGGCGAGCGGCTGAAGGGTGTGTTTAGTTTTTTTGTTTGGGGGGGGGAAGTGACCAGGATCAAACCTTCAACCGGAGGTCTAGACGGTGTTTTTCGATGGAGGAGCCACCGTACTGGGTGTGTGTTTTCCTCCGAGGACTGAGGCACTCAGCACCAAGAAGGGCGAGACGAGGCGTCGTGTCTAAAAAAGCCAGTTTCGCCCCCAACTTTCGATGTCAGTTTACCGTCCGACTAATGGGTCAGGCAGCCCCCTGATGGAACGCCGACGATGGAACACCGACGGACGCACACTCTTTCGAAGCAAGGATGGGATGGAATCGCGGGCACGGGGTCTCGGGGGGTATAGGATTGGGTTGGAGGGATTGGTGTTGTATCGTTGAACGGAGACAACACGGTGATGGTGGTCGCGCGACTAAGCCGAGTGGAGTGGCGGGTGGTGGTCTGGACGGCGGTGTGGTGTATCATGCTGTTCGGGGAGTCTTGAGTTTTTTGCGAGGAATGGCGTGTAGCGGCGGACGGCGGCGGCGGCGGCGGTGGAATTAAACGAAGTAGATGTAAAGATTTTGAGTCCCCCGTTTGTTGTTGCTGTGTCGGTCGTGGCTGTTTCTCGTACTCGTGGGAAGGGAACGGGGCTGATGAGAACAGTTGGCGGTCTTACTCGAGGCGATCAGCGACTATCATAGCATCTCCTGCCTCTATCACTCATTCCCGTAGACACCATCCTTGGCATGTACCAGGTACCAGGCACTTGATGTCGCGCAGCACCGCTTTGTTTTATGGCTTGCGCACGCCTGTGCGTAAAAAGCAGGATTCTCTGTTGAGTGTCTTGTGGTGGGTGGGGGGCACTGGTACAGTGCTGCTGTGCATCGCTGGGAAACCAACTGTTGCTGTGTATCGCTAGGAAACCAGCTCAAACTAGGCCAAGAGGGTGCGAAGGTCTCCAAGCGTCCTCTCTCCGTGTGTCCCTCCGTTGTAGGTGCCGATTTTGCAACCCAAGCCTGGCCTTTTGAAACGTTGTCGTAGATGCCACAGCGGCAGCTGTTGGTTTGGACGTTGGAAGAAACGACGTGTTGTTTGAGGGGGGGTTCCTTGGACTTGAGACGAGCCGCGTCTGGCTTTGTTTTTCCCTCGTTGATGTTGGTGCGTCTTTGGTGGGGGTGTTGCACAGTGTGACCCCGGCTGATTACGTCAGGATTTGACGCCGAAAGGCCTGTAAACCGGCGCCAGAATCGATGGGACGAACACACACACCAATAACTTTTTGCATCCAGCGACGTTCGCTTGCGCGCTGCATTTACTCCTTTTTTCTCTCCGTCGTTTCTGGTTACTCTTAGTCTGCTTTGGGGGCGTATGATACGCCCCCCCCCCCCCCCCCCACCGTGATCCGATTCGCCTGATCTTGCCGGGGCGCAGCCACAGGTTGTGTGGGGCTGTTCGGCGGCCCCGTAGTATCTGGTCCACGGATCGGTGGTTGTGGCCGAATTCTTGTGCTCGTTACGTTTGATGCCCCGGGGTGGCGGTGTTCCGGTATCCGCACGATAATCGTAGGGTCAACGCCTCCCGCTGCACATGGTGCAGCAATGTAGTGTAAAGTATATGTGTGTACTTGCTTGCGTTTGTGAAGTGTTTCGCGTGCGTGTAACGGGTCTATTTAGTGCTTCTTTTGTGTGTTTTGGGAACCCGTCACAGGGGGGGGAGGTCCGTTGGTGTTGTGTTTGAGGAGCGATGTGATTGCGGAGTGGATGTCTCACTGCCTTTTTTGCCGATGATGTACCTTTTTCATGCCAGTAGGGATCATATTTGCTATCTGCTCGTTCGAGGACAAGATGAAGTGGAAGAAAAGAGAAGCGACTTCATTCACAAGTCCGGTTTCTTGGCCCACGGGACATCGCATCGCAGGTTCTGGAGAGGACTTGATTGCTCCATAAACGAGGCATGCCAAATTAATTGCCTGCAAGTGGCCGGAAAGAATGTTACAAGACGGAAACCATCCATCCATCCTGTGTCACGCATCCGTAGATCCCAGATGGATTTTTTGCTGTTGTTGTTCTTGCACTCGAAGCGGGACGCTACGAGGCACCGATAGCTGAACAGCTGCTGCAAACATGCGTGTCCACCCGGAAGTCGTCTATATAATAGCGTCACATGGTGCGCCGTCATCGTTCATCAGCCTATATGAATGAGAATTCAGCCGCAAACAACTCTCCACAACGATTCCCACTGCACTCGCAAAGAATCACTCTTTTCAGGGGTGAACAAAAAAACTACTTTCCGCAACGGAATAAAAGCAAGTTCGCACAAGATACGTCAACGGCGCTATCTACTCCGTTGCCATCACTGGGTACAACACGCGAGAGCCTGAAAAAAAACATTCACACAAAAATGAGCAACAAAAGGATGGTATATGTGTAACATCTGAGTTTGACTCTCTCAAGGAACAGGGAGACGAGTGGGCTCGAACCCTCATTGCGGGTGCTTTGGTTTTTGCGCCGGCTCGGTTCACTTATTGCGATTGCAATTCCTCTGCTTATCTCATCATCCGGTGCTGTTCTGTGCCGCGCTGCACAACTGCTGCAGACTAACACAAAGACAGCCAGGCCAGGCGATGAGCGCCTAAGGATACCCAAGGTACCCTCCGCTGTTGCACGTGGAATACCACACCCACACGATTTACCACCTACACCGTTCAGGAAGAGGGAGACGAGCGCTAAATTAGTCGCGCGGCGAAAAAAAAAACCCCGTCGTGCAGCAGTTCGAGGCAAAAACTATCGATTTCCACCCTCGGAGATTTACCAACGACATCGATGGCGCCACATCGCTGCATCACTTACTCCGGAAGGGGTATCTCGCGACAACATCCAATCAAGCCTGGGCATGGTCACGAGTTTAAGGCGCATGGCACAAACAACAACGAAAGACAAAATCGAGCCAACAAGTCACGCTCGTTTGCCATTCTCAGCATCTGGAAAATTCTGCGTGGTCGTGCAACCCTCACACCCTTTCGTCATTCTCACCAAACCAACTACTGCTTTAGCAGTAGTATCTGGACATTCCGCGAGGCTGTAAAACCCTCGCACGTGACACCCTATTTCCCCTCTTGCCTCATCACACCAACCATATCTGGAAATCCTTTGTGGCCGCATCACCCTCAAGACCCTTCCACCATTCTCACCTCGCACCAGCAGCAGTATCTGGAAATCCCGCGTGGCCGTATCACTCTCGCACTTTTCTCATACACCAACACAGCACCTGGAAATTCTTCATGGCCGTATCACCCTCACACTCTTTCCGTCAGTCTCACTTTCAAACCAACAGTATCTGGAAATTCTGCGTGGCCGTGTAACCCTCCGCCTCCGCGAAACAGACGATCACGTTCAGCTCGAACTCCACACGGAACCGCGGGGTCACCATCGTGGGGCAGGAAAACAGCCGCGGCAGCACCATGTAGATCGGGATCACCAGGCCTCGGCACACGTCCCCCTCCCCTATCTGGAGGTTCTGAATCTCCGTCGCCTCCCGTAGCTGGCCTTGCGCCTTTGTTTTCGGATGCCACCGGGTACGACGGAGGGCACAGGGAAAAGGACGCGTAGGTAGGCGTTATGCATGCACTGGGCTCGTCTTTGCTGGGTGGATGGGATGTTTTGTGGTATGCATATGATTTTGTGTTTGAGGCGCGGGCTTGTGACATGAATCGTGGAGAAAACAAACACAAGAGTTGGTCGCTTCTCCGACAGTCCAAGGATTGCACCTGTGACGGTTAGCTATTGCACGAGTACACATAAAATTGACTGGAATGGAAAAATCGCGTTTTGTATCGACCGCTCTCGCGGGGCTGCATGGTCTCACCAACACTGCTGTCGACTCCGTACATGGGTGAGTGCTGCGTGGGGAGAGGGCTAGGATGGTGGGGTTCACACCCACCATGTTATGCGCACGCGAAAGTTCTTCCAAACTTAAACACCCGTCATTCTGTTTCACTGTCCACATGGGATTCTCGCCTCAATCCACGGTGCAAACGTATTTCGATCGTGAGCGATGTTACTTCTGGAGCTTGCGTGTGTCCACCCTGACCACATGCTTTCTAAACCCCGCCAACTCTTGCTGATCAAACCCAAACGTTGCTGGTGTATGCCGCTCTATTGTGTTGCTGTACCCGGACCAACAGCGGCCAGCCTTCTCCGCAGCCGCAGCTGGTACCACAAGGCAAAAACCAACGCTTGAACATCGTGAATTCATGCGATTTTATTTATTGGGCAGCAGGCGGCACAGTGCCAACAACAGGACTCTCACCTGGGACACCGTTTCGACTCTCACTAGCTGCACCTCCAACGACTAAGTCGAATCGAACGCGCCGGCAGCGAGTCACGCCACATCGCAACATGCATGGGTTCAAAGAGGTGCCAAGCGCGCACAAGGTGGAGGGGAGGAGGGTGTGTGTGAAGAACGTGCAATTGTACAGCCATGAAAATAACACATGTGAAAGGCAACGACTAAATGCGTAAAAGGAAAACTACTTTGACAGACCTGTCCAACGAAAAACAACATACCAAGTGAAACCCAACGTCCAAAATGTTGCGTGTGGTGCGCCGAGAATTTCAAGACCCTCCCCCCATTCAACATGTAAAGAGTTCGCATATCGTACGGACGGATACAGGGAGTTACCTTGATCGGGCGCTCCGACTCCTCGACAACCACCTCCCCCGTAAGCGGCCGGCTCGTGGAGACGGTGGCGCTATGCAGCCTTCCCGACACTCGAAAGGGCCGTAATCGCCGCTGTCGGCCGTAACGCTTGGGTGCGTACTCTAGCGTCTCCGGGGTGATCTCGAAGGGTACTTCCGTTGCTGGGCTTGCTGCCTCTCCGGGAACCTCGACTGAAAAAAAAACAAAAAAAAATGCCATGTTTTCAACCATGGGAAAAAGACGTGCGTAGATATCCTTTCTGGGTAGTTGGCCTGGGACCATGGAAGACGTCCGCGCCAGTTGGAACCGTCACAAGGTACTGAGCACAGACCAGAAAGGTTTCTAATGTGAAGACAACCACAACAAAGTCGAAAACATGACAATCGACGAAACTGACGCAGTTGGGGTGTTGATGACGAGGTTTTGTGCGGGGCGGGGGCGGGGGGGGGTGCATCTTACCCATAAACTCGATCTTCTTGGAGAGGTCGTTGCGCATCATTCCGCGCTCGATCTTTGCGCTGATGTGGTACCCGATCGACAGGTACACTCCGGAATAGCTGTTTAGCAGTGGCTTGGGGGCAGAATACAGAGGAGGCCGTGGGAAGCAGGACGGGGAAAATGAGGATTGTCGCTCTCTCGTTTAGTCTTACAGCATAACGTCGGCGTTGTTGCTGTAAAAATATTAAATCATTTCTGGCCTCTACCCAATGCCCTT